AATCATTTAAAGCGATGTATGAGTCAGAAAAAGTCAGTAATGAATCATTTGGAGACAGAAGTTAACAATTTGAATCAAGAAATGAAGAAATGAATCATGTAATTTGAGAAATATTTGAAATGAGATCTGCCTCATTTAAAGTGAGAAAAAGAATCATTTGAAGCCAGAAATACACATATGGGCAAGAGTATTGGGACACACCTCTTAATCATTGAATTCAGCTGTTTTATGCAGTCCCATTGCTGCAGGTGTATAAAATCAAGCACCTAGCCATGCAGTCTGCCTTTACAAACATTTGTGAAAGAGTGGGTCATTCTATAGAGCTCACTGAATTTGAGTGTGGTGCTGTAATAGGATGCCACCGTTGCTGTTAGACCATGTAAAGTTACAGAAGCAGGCCACCGAGTGCTGAGGAGCATAATGCATAAAAGTCACCAACGCTCTCCTGATCAATAACTGTGGAGTCCCAAACCTCCGCTGGCATCAACATCAGCACAAAAATTGTGCATCGGGAGCTTCATGGCAGGGTTTCCATGGCTGATCAACAGCATGCAAGCCTTACATCACCAAGCACAATGCCAGGCGTTGCATGGAGTGGTGTAAAGCATCGCCACTGGACTCTGGAGCAATAGAAACATATTCTGTGGAGTGATGAATCACGCTTCTGATGGACGAGTCTGGGTTTGGCGAATGCCAGGAGAACGTTACCTGCCTGACTGCATTGTGCCAACTGTGAAGTTTGGTGGAGGAGGGATGATGCTATGAGGTTGTTGTTCAGGGGTTGGCCTAGAACCCTTAGTTCCAGTGAAGGGAAATCTTAATGCTTCAGCAGACCAAGACATTTTGGACAATTGTACGCTTTCAACTTTGTTGGAACAGTTTGGGGAAGAACCTTTTCTGTTCCAGCATGACTGAGCCCCAGCGCACAAAGCAAGGCCTGTAAAGGCAAGTTTGATGTGGAAGAACTTGACAGGCCCTCACAGAGCCCTGACCTCAACCCCATCGAACATCTTTGGGATGAACTAGAACGGAGCCAGGTCCCCTCGTCCAACATCAGTGTTTTGCTCTTCAGGATGAATGGGCTAAAATTCCCACAGATACTCTCCAAAATCTTGTAGAAAGCTTCCCAGAAGAGTGGAAGCTGTTATAGCTGCGAAGGGGGACCAACTCCATAATAATGCCTATGGATTTATAATGGAACATCATAAAAGCTCCTGTAGGCGTAATGTGTAGGTGTCCTAATGCTTTTGTCCATATAGTGTATATCAATAAGTTGAGGCCACAAATGAATCATTTATATCAGAACCACAAGCCAGAAACAACTAATTTGAAGGCAGAAACTAATCATTTCAAGGTAGAAACAATTTATTTGGAGGTGAACTTGAATACATGAGTCATTTGAAGCTGGATATGAATCATTTGCAGCCGTGAATGAATCATTTTAAGCTAGATTTATATAATGTGTAGCCAGAAATTATCATAACAATATCAGATCAAATCAAAATCACTTGACGCCAGAAACATAATGTTTAGCCAGAAATGAGTCATTCTTAGCTAGAAATGGCTCCTCTGAAGCCAGAACCAAGCATTTCAGAGTCTCATGTGATCGAGTGCACAGCACTGAATAATTGGCTCTAAGTGTCTAAGCAGCATGCGTATGCTTTTGATTTCACCTTACATCATTGACGTCATTTCCAAAACAGCAGTAGTGCTTAACAGTCGTTGTTGCCACCACTTTGACTGAATTATATTTACAGCTGGAGATGGATGGGTAGTAATTTAAAAGTGGTCTAAAATAAAGCGTTTTTTTCCTTTTTGCCCATGAAGATTTAAATGAGAATAAATCTTAAGTAGCTTTTGCCCTTCAGATGACTGCTTAATGCAGTTTCTCTTAGTTCCTTTGATCCTCCTGCTTATTGCCGCACTTCTGCTTTGAACACAGTCAATTTTTCACAAATGATTTCATCCAGTGTGTCTAATGGTTTTCTCCAAATCTCATAAATCATTTTTGAGGCAATTTATTTATTTACTTTGTGATGGAAATTTGTCAAATATATCTTCGTGCAGAAGACTCCATTAGTGATTCTACACTCACCGTCCACTTTATTGGAAACACTTACCTTGTACTTCCACTCACTGGCCACTTTATTAGAAATACCCACCTAATACTTCCACTCACTGGCCACTTTATTAGAAACACTTACCTTGTACTTCCACTCACTGGCCACTTTATTAGAAATACCCACCTAATACTTCCACTCACTGGCCGCTTTAGTAGAATCACCTACCTTGTACTTCCACTCGCTGGCCACTTTATTAGGAACACCCACCTTGTACTTCCACTCATGGGCCACTTTATTAGAAACACCTACCTTGTACTTCCATATTATTACATATTACCTATATTAAGAAGATATTTACAGATGGCATTGACACTGATGAGTTGATACCTTCAGGGACATCCAGATGATCTTGCTAAAACCTGAAAGGAGTATTTTTAAGATATTCTTGATAACATATTTTCATTAGCACTTGGACAGCATTTCTAGAGAGCTGGGACAGAGAGAGACAGTCAGGGCAGCCCTCTCATTATTCTGCCTTTCCTAATCATGATAATTACCCCCTACACATGGTGAGGAGGACAAATTGGACTGTCTGGCCACTTAGCTCATCAAGCTTGAAAATACTGATCACATCATATCTTTTGGGTAAAGTAGGCAAAGAGCCACATACAGCTGTTAGAATATATAATGGTGCTTCTTATGGATCCAGCTTTGGTTCATAAAGATCATTGGCACATTTCACACACAGAAGAAACTACACTACACAGTAAACTGTACACCAATGAGCCAAAACATTATGACCACTCACGATGTTGATTATCGTGTAACATTGGTGCATGTCAAGGTCTAGAATGTATCGGAAGGTAAGTAAATAAGCAGTTTTCGTAGTTGACACGTTAGAGGAATGGGAGAAATGGGCAGGCATGAAGACCTGACCGACTTTAACAAGGGCCAAATTGTTATGGCCAGATGACTGGGTTGAAGCTTCAATAGACCACAAACCAGCGATGAAACGGCTGTGCCATCTGGTCCAAATCAACAGAAGGCCTACAGTGGGACAATTTTTAATTATGGTTACAGGAGGAATGTGTCGCAACACAGTGCATTGCATCCTTCTGCGTATGGCCACACACTGGTCAGAGTGCTCCTTTTAACCCCTGTCTACTGATTAAAGAGTGTCAAAAGCACCTAAAAGGGGCACACAAGTGGTGGAACTGGACCTTGGAGCAATGGAAGAAGGTTGCCTGGTCAGATGAGCCCTGTTTTCTTTCACGTTACATGGACTGCCGTTATCCTGGGGAAGTGATGGCACCAGGATGTACTGTGGGAAGAAGACAAGCTGGTGGAGGACTGTGATGCTCTGGGCAATGTTCTGCTGGGAAGCCCTGGGTCCGACATTCATGTGGATGCCAATTTGACCTGCAGTACCTACCTAAACATCATTGTGGACCAGGTGCACAACTTCATGGCGATGGTATTCCCGAATGGTAGAGGCCTCTTTCAGCAGCATAATGTGCCCTGCCACACTGCACACATTGTTCAGGATTGGTTTGTGGAACATGATGAAGAGTTCAAACTGTTGGCTTGGCCTTCAAATTCGCCAGTTCCCTGTCCAGTTGAGCACCTGTAAGAGGTGCTGGAACAAGAAGTCAGATTCACAGTGGCTCTACATTACAACTTGCAGGACTTACAGGATCTGCTACTACAGCCAGACCACAGAGCACCTTCAGAGATCATGTAAAGTCCATGTTTTTGTGAGTTGGAGCTATTTTGGTGACATGCAGAGGACCAATAGCATATTAGGAAGAGCAGACATGGTCATAATGTTTTGGCTCATCAGTGTTTATGTGTAAAAGGTTATTTCCTGTTGACTAACACTGTATTGTCTCCAGGAACAGCAAATTCGTAAAATTGGCCCCCATGGGTCCTGAAGGCCCCGGACTCCCTTTAACCTCTTTTCACATCAGCTATAAACGGCAATTGTAGCTTGTTTTGGGGTCACTCAGTTAAAATATATATATTTTTAAACAACTTTGATGACATATATTTTAGTGGAATTGTATAAGACTTATAAATCCAGAAGTAAACTGGGTTTTCATCTTTGTTTGTGTGAACACAAGTCAACATTTATAGAAGTGTTTTGTGTTTTTTTTGTGTTTTGTGTGTTGGTTTTGTTTTTACTGTTTTACTGTGGCACTTGTACATGATCATTCTTTATAAAGTAAGCTGCAGTTGAGCTGTCTTGTGTTTCTCGGCACACCTGTCTTTGTCAAGAGGTGTGAATTGTTTTCACAGCAAAGGAAAATTATTGCTCCCTAGCAGCTCCAGAGTCACAAATTTCTACACACAGAGAGGCATCAGTGTCCAAACTGATCTAATAACGGAGTTACAGGGGACAATAGTTTCTAAAATTATAATAATCAAAAATATCCCACTTGACTTACATTCTGCCAGCGTGAATGGCCACTAGGTGGCCTGCAGAGTGGTGCTACAGAATTAAAAAACATAGTTTGTTTCATCAAACAGGGTTGATTTTATCATAACTCCTATGAGCCTCGAACTGCTAATTCTACTGCTATATCCTGGGCTGTATCCATGAACTTTTTTGTATATGTACAGAATATATGTATGGAGTTACAGTCATAAGGTGCTGTTGATTCAAATGGCTAATACAGTCGTGTGCAAAAGTTTTGGCACCCCTGGTCAAATGGCATGTTTTATTGATTTTGTTGATTTAATTCTATAGTATTTGTTTTTTTTTTCCAATGTGTTAAACTGAAATAAATGAATAGAAACATATTTAAGTTTGTTCCATGTAAAGGATGTTTGAACTCATTTTTAGAAAAATCTACAAAACATGTAATTTGACCAGCAGTGCAATGCAAAGCAGTGCAATATTCTATTTTAAAAAACGCTGTTGTTATCTTGCTCCATCAGAAATCCTGAATGGTGGGGTGTACGTGGATCAGAATAAGTTCCTGTGCCATGCAGACACCATCCACTGGCAGGACATCGTGAAGAACCCTCGAGCTGAGCTTCTGGTGGTGCCGTCCAACAACAGCAGCAGTTCATGTGAGTGTCTCCCCAAGCTGCCATGTCTATCAATCATCGTTCAGATTACAGTTATTGTTTTCAAGAATTACAGATTTGATTATACAACACCAATAAACAAGACTAACTGTACATAAACTGCAAAATAGCAGTGTCAATTTGATAGCATGTTTAAGCTGGAGAGTAAATCAGAAACCAAACCTCAAAGTACAGAGTACGTTATAGGGTATAAAATGATGGTGATAAAATTCAAAGATAGTTGTCTAAAGTAAATGATAAAAACCCAGTAAAATTACAGTAAAAATCACTGTTTTCTTTTACAGCCTGCATTCAGTTTTATTTAAAGTTAATCAACAGGTGCATATTGTGTAAGACATTTTATTTGTGTGCAATCTTTTTACACCATATAACTACCCACTACTTCTTTACCTAAATAATTGCACGGTACAGTAGAGTTCTACTCAGTTACATACTTTCTTAGTTAATACCTAAAACCTGTGTAATTTAGTTAACTTACCATCATGATACCCCAAATGATTACCTAGAACCTGGAGTTTGTGCCTCATACTTACTACGCATAGTAAGTACCCAGAACTTAAAGGAACTTAAAGAAAGCATTACCAATAAACCAGTTAGACCAGAGGTTGTCCACAAGTAATTATACTGAATTGGACCGCTATTTTACCAATTTACATATGACATCATGTCATTTGTAATCAGTACTGGATTACAGTTTTTAAGTAGCCACATCAGTTGGTGTAGTGTAGTGGGCAATGCAGCAGACTGGGGTTCTGTTCACTGACTAGACACACATGTGTGTGTGAAAAATGCATGTAACCCTCTATGGTTGATGATGCTGTATGCAACATCAAAGGACGCTGTAGATAAAAGAATAAATACTTTGGGAACATGCATGTTAGAGACATACCTTCATTTTGCTCAGAATGGTGGCATTGTTCCGGTGACAAGTCAGGAACACAGCCTCTGATTGGTCTAGAAGTCAGGAACACAGCCTCTGATTGGTCTAGAAGTCAGGAATGCAGCCTCTAAATGGTTGTTGAGTCAGGAACACAGCATCTCTCTCTCTCTCTCTCTCTCTCTCTCTCTCTATATATATATATATATATATATATAGAGATCATATACACCTAGCTGTATTATTAGAAATAACTAAACACAATTTATGTACACTTAAATTAACTTATACTTAAGTTAACTTAAGCAATTGATTAGACACAGATGCTACTACACTAGAAACTTATTTTAAATGTAGATATTTGGGTGTTTTTAGTTAGTTCGAGTTGTTCTGCAACTTAAATACAATTAAAATGTACTCAAGCATACTTTAAAAGCACTTGTTTAAAAAGATGCCTCTAAATACTACTATAACACTTAAGTTAATGACAGTTAAATGTACTTTTGTTTAAGAATGCTTCAGCATGTTAAGAAGTACTGTTTCAGTTCCTTACCACATACTAAAGTAATAAAGTATCTGCATTTGCCTACATCTTACTACATGTACTACATGTACCCAGTAAAGGCTATAACAGATTTAACACACTGTAACAGGACCTCTGTCTTATGTTAAGTACGTTAGTTTTGAATCTTTCAACCATAGTTGCTATTAGCACTGATAGATGACGGTCAGTGGCCAACCTCTAGAGGTCCAGCCTGAAGTGTGGTGAGATTTGGAAGAGGAGACTGGCAGTAGTTTGTGTGTGGGGTGGGGTGTGTGGGGTGGTGGGGTGGGGGGGTGGGGGGGTGGGGGGGGGCCTCCCTGACAAAACAGAGTCTGTCAAAAAATAATTACTCTTCATTAAAGGGGTTTAAGTGCTGAGGGTTACTCTCAATCCTAGAAGTGCGAGTGCTCCATAATTAGGCACTCAATTAGACCCAAATGGCAGCAAGATTAAGGGGAGGAAAACGCTAGGAATAAATTCTGTATGAAGATGGTGTCACGTCCTGCTTCAGAAGAAGAGGCACACGTTCATTATGTGCCTTTGTCACGTACATGTCACTTCCTGTAAATAAATAAAAAATGTCCATGTGAAAAACTAAAAATCTAAGTGTAAATCTTTACTTTTATAGTTAATTACCTTCTTCACGTACCCAACCAATCCTCTATCCATTCATCCACCCAGCCATCCATCTGTCTTTCCTTTGATTCATCCATCCATCCATCCATCTATCCACACACCCATCCTTACCCCGTCTATCCTTTCAACCACTTATCCAACCATCTATCAAACCATCCATCTATCCATCCATCCATTAGTTTATCCATCTATCTGTTCATCTTTCGATTCATACATTCATCCATCCATCTATCCACACACCCACCCATCCACCCATCTATCCATTCAACCACTTATCCGTCCATTCATTTATGGACTTGCATATCCATTCACTTATCCATTAATCCATCTATCCATTTATTAACTCATACACCCAACCAACCAACCATCAATCCGTCCATCCATCCCCCAGCCATCCATCTGTCCTTCCTTCTATTCATTCATCCATCTATCTGTCCGTCCTTTGATTCATCCATCCATCCATCCCTCTGCCCACACACCCATCCATCCCTCTGTCTATCTATTCAACCACCTATCCATCCATCCATCCTTTATTGACTTATACACCCAACCATCCATCCATTCAACCACCTGCCATCCATCTGTCCTTCCTTTCATTCATTTATCCATCCATCTGTGCATCCTTTGATTCATACATTCATCCGTCTATTTATTCACACACCTACCCATCCACCCATCTATCCATTCCATTTGTCCATCCATCCATTTATTGACTCACACACCCATGCGTTTATCCATTTATCCATCCATTAATGGATTAACTCACACACCCAACCAACCAACCATCCATTCCATACATCCACCCAGCCATCCATCTGTCCTTCCTTCTATTCGTTCAACCATCCTTTGATTCATCCATCCATCCAACCATCCATCCATCCATCCATTTATTGACTCATACACCTAACCATCAATCCGTCCATTCATCTGTCCATCCATCCATCCATCCATCCATCCATCTATCCACACACCCATCCACTTGACGGGTTTTAAGTCTGATTGTGAGGAACACATATTCATAAATATTATTTAACACTGGTGATGTTGGATCCATTCCTCAGGCAGACGATGTCATCGTTCCTGTAACGGACGCTGCTGGGGTCATCAAGAGGACCAGTGCCAAAGCTGTGAGTTCCTAAACCTTCGACAACTACAGTATGAATCAGATTTATTTCATTTGTTGCTGAGCTTATTAAAGTCATTTGTTGGAGTCAGACTCAGACTTCCTGCAGTTGGGTGATGCTGAAATACTCTCTGGAATCATTAAAATTATGTTTGTTGTTTATAGTTTGCAAACGTCATTGTATGAGATCCACATCTATCGTGGACATATACTACTGGTATGAACTTATTATCACACACATTTGGTTGCATAAAAATGATATTTAATAATATAATTTTCTGTAATACGGCCCCTGGACTTTATTCTGTAGAGCAGAACAGAGATAGAGAGCGGGGAACAGAAGGCCACTTGGCAGCTGTTCTGCAAAAAGAGTGAATGGTCTTCACTCTCTCATTGTCTCTTTCTTCCACATACCGGTCCACAGAAACCTGACCCTTGGCTTTCCGAATCACAGTCTTCATTCCGTCAATAACCCGCTCACTGCGGAGGCGATAGTTACAGAAGAACTTGCGTTGAGGCCGATAGAAGGCTTCGGATCCATGCTGTTGACACCCTGCAGTTAAACAGCTACAGTAATTGCAGGGAAAGCAGTTTGTACAGAGGTGGTGGGTTGCAGTAGGCAGGGACACATTTCGTTTGTCTTGTTGTTTTTTGCAGCACAAAATGTTGAACTTTGGTTCTGTCGCATTTTTGATAAGCGGTGCCAGGCATCAGCACTAACACAATGGGCCTCATTCACCAACTGTTCTTAAGAGGAAATTGCTTCTTAAAACTTCCACTTATGCAGTTTTTACGAAGATTCTGACCTTCACCAATGTTTTCTTACTTGGGATTTGTTCTTAGGTAAGAACACAATCTACTCACACTCAAGAGCACAAAGGTGTGAACAGTTCTGCGCTTTAAGAGCAGGTCATGAATCTGACGTAGACTTTTTCTTAGGATCTTTCTCAAGAACACATTTAAGAAACAACTTTGGAAGATATTGGTGAATGAGGCTCAATGCTCACTTGAACCTCACTTGAACACTCTTAAGACACCGTTTTTTTAATTACTGCATGAATTGTCACCTACCACTTAAATTCACACTGTAGTAGTGTATAATTGGCAGCATTTTATACCTATAGGTTCTAGATAGTGGGTGGACGTGGTCACACTGTATATCAAAATGGGTAATGGCATTAGGGCTTTTGAAGGCCTAAAGGCCTAGCAAATGGGAGAGCTTAAGTTTGACTGTATGGACATAGAGAAAGAAATTTTGGTTGAAAATTTTCTGCTGGGCATTTTAAGCATTTTAACTCTGTTGTTTCCATTTAAAGCCTAACAATGAAATAAGAGCACTTCTGCTATTCTTATTGAAGTTTCAATACAAGCTTCACTACGAAGCCATTATTCCTTCTCTGAAGGTCTAGAAGGCCCTGAATGTTCCTCGCTGTATCAAATATGCTCCCACATGTAGAATATAACCTGGTTGGTTTAATTCAAATTGGCACAATAATTTGGAGATCGTACCCCACACTTACTCAGTTTATATCTAAAACTTGTTTAACATTTCAGAGTAATTCCACTCAACTGCCTTTAAACTTACCATCATGTTATCCAAAGTGATTATCCAATACTTTGAAGCTTGGACTCTGAAGTCACACTTACCTGGTCAGAATCTAGAATTTAAGGCACTGTATAAAAGAAAGCCTACCTGGCCAGTTCTCTAATGCAATTTGGGATTTTATCCTGGACAGTGGATACTGTTCAGAGTCATTGCTGCTATTAAGAGACACAACTGGACTGGAGCTCATCTTTATACATTATTTTATCAGGCCTCCTCTCATTTATCCTTGGTCAGTTTCTGACCTCAGCAATGCTGTTGACCAGATGTGGTGAACCATTCACAGCACAGCAGTTACACCAACATGGAAGTGGCTTGGAAGTATGTGCGGTGCTGCTATGAGTGTATGAGTATGGTAAGGTTTTAACATACTGCCACTGCTATATCCACCCAATAGTGGATAGTGGCTCTGTGGTCAGAAAGTGACAGTAAACTCCAGCAGTGAATGCTCTTACTAATGAAGGCTGTGTGCCATGCATAGTTGTAAATGTTATGTCGTGTGTGTGTGTGTTTGTTTCAGTAACGAAAACAGTGTGTGCTGAGCAGTGTGACGGCCGATGTTTTGGTCCCTACGTCAGTGACTGCTGCCACCGAGAGTGCGCTGGAGGCTGTTCCGGACCCAAAGACACGGACTGCTTTGTAGGCCAACATTTGTGTCTCACTTTTTTCCAACTGCAATGAGAATTGAACTGCAAACTAGGTTTTCGTGGTGATTTGGATTAGCCCACATTCTACAGTTTTAGGGATGTCCCCATCACTTTAGTTCTGAGCCACTATTTCCCACAGGAAATCCAGGAAGCTTCAATAACTCATACAAATAATGCAAAAGTAACGAGGCAGTTCTCATCCAAAAAGGCCATATAGGAGCTTCCTGGCAACTTCAGTGCCATTACGTGTAGGGATGGCAGCTTCTGGAGATGCATGTTTTCATTTTTCATGGATTTAGATAATGAACCAATGTCCCAAATTCCCCCCATCCTATTATTATCTATTTTATTACTCTGTTGTTATTTGTCACATTGGCTGTATCTGTTTGTTAATATCAGTGCGTGAACTTTGCAAATTTCCAATATTTTTAGTTATTATTGCTTTCAACAGTTGATTATGTGCAGCATCTGCCAAGAGTTTTTAATTAGAGTTGCATTTCGCCCCTTGGCATAAACGACTTGGATCGATGGCTGCAATTGTGTTGATACTGCCGGGAACTGCGTTAAACTCAACCTTATGTTTGTAGTCATTCCAACAGAAAGTTTTAATTATAACTCACAAATGTGACTAATGGCTTGGAGTCTGCCATTGATGAACTGTGAAATTCAGGCCTGAGGAAACCGACGTGTCTCTTGCTTTGCTCTTCAGGCTTGCACCAACTTCAACGACAGCGGGGCTTGTGTGACACAGTGTTCTCAACCTTTCGTCTACAACCCAACAACCTTCCAGCTCGAACACAATCCCAAAGCCAAATACACCTATGGAGCATTCTGCGTCAAGAAATGCCCATGTGAGTGAGCGTACAACAGCCAAATATTAGATACATTACAAATGGTAATGAGGTTTTCCTGTCTTTACTGTGGCACCGTGAATTGGTTGATGATATTGCTTAAACAAGTCTCAAAAGCCGTGCTATAAAGTCAACATTGGCCCACAAAATTCGTAGTTTGGGATGTTCTGTTGATGTTTTTCAGTCGCCTGTATCTTGTAAAACCAGATTTCCCTTGCCTTGGTGAAACTGAGCTTGATGCACTGCGTAAACATTGGAAAAAATTCAGAACATACTGTTCTGTACCAGTGGTCACCAATCCAGTCCTGGAGATCTTCCTTCCTGTGAGGTCTAGCTCCAACCACAATCTGCCACACCTGCTCCAGATAATTAACTTCCTCAGAAGTCCTTAATTGGCTGGAACAGATGCATTAATAGGAGGTAAGGGGGCAGCTTGTTAGATTGGAAATAAACCTACCAAAAATTAGATCTACAGAAGGAAGGTTGGTGAAGAGGGTTGGCCTATATGGTGCATATATGGGAACTAAGCTGCATAAAACCGCCCATTCATTGTGATTATAATGTCAAAACTATGAATAAATTCACATATGACCACTCATTCAACCTATGGTAGTTTAGCTCTTTATACAAAAAGGCTCTGCTGATTCTCACTGAAGTGATAAAGAGTGTCGTTACTGCATATAGTCTGTTATTGGAGTGTGGAAAAAAATGGTTAAACGTTATTCTGTTTCTGGCTGTCAGGAAGCAAATGGACCACCGCATCCACACATTTGAAAGTACCCCGCTGCTGTTTTGAGTGAGCCAATCAAAACAGAGGTCATTTACATATATCAGACTCAAAGGAACAAAACAAACAGCATCTTAATTTCAAGTGATAGAGAAGAATTGAAAAATGGGACAAGAAGGAAAACAGAAGAAAATAAAAATGTAGAAGGGCCACTTACTCCTGAAAAGCTCTGCTGTTTTCCTCCCACAGATAACTTTGTGGTGGATCACAGCTCCTGTGTACGAGCCTGCCCAAGCAACAAGATGGAGGTGGAGGAGAACCGCATCAAATTGTGCATCCCATGCACTGATATCTGCCCTAAAGGTGAAGATCCACCATTCTATATCTCCCATTAGAGAGCATCTGCCCAAAAAGTCAAGACAACAGTCTGTGACTTATGTCAGTAGAGCTTACATAGCTTTTGTAAAACATACTGTGTAGAAATGATAGAAGCATATGGGTCCTTTGACCTGGAGTTAGAGGTCTTGCTGTGGTTACTATGCAATATTAGTATTCATGTAAACTGTAATCGTGGCAAACAATTAGGGACTGATGAGCCAGGTTTCAGATTAAGCTACACTCTTAAAAAGATGGTTCTTCAAGGGTTCTTTGATAAAGAAAATGGTTCTATATAGAACCATCAATACTCAAAGAATCCAATGCATGACTAAAGGTTTCTTTGCAGCATGAAAGCGTTCTTCAGATTGATGGGGAATGTGCTGTAGATGGTTCTATATAACACCTTATTTGAAAAAGGTTCCAGATAGCGCCAAAAAGGGTTCTACTATGGTTGTGTCAAGCTTGTAACAATTGAAGAATGCTTTTTGGTGCTATATAGAACCATCTGCAGCACAATCTCCATTAATCTGAAGAACCATTTCACAATGCAAAGAGACAGTTAATCATGCAAAGGGTTCTTTGAGTGTTAATCGTTCCCTATAAGGACACTCACATCTGTTGAAACAGCTCTTTTGTAGCATACATCCAACTAACACAAGAATCATTTAGCTTTTTTTTTGACTGTTTAAAAGCCACAGCTGGCCATTAGACCTGTAAACACAACCCAGAAAAATCACCACAGTATGAGGCCATCAGTGGGGTGCTATATCTTAAGTCGGGCTGTTTTTATTTCTTTTTAGCTTGAGATAACTGCTCATGTTTTCTCAGGCTATGCCTAAGCCTGTCCTTGTTGTTTGTCTGTGTTATGTCTGGTTCGCAGTGTGCGATGGCATCGGGACAGGCAGTTTACAGATGAACCAGACGGTGGACTCCAGCAACATTGACAAGTTTGTCAACTGCACCAAGATCAATGGCAACCTGATCTTTCTCGTCACTGGGATTAAAGGGTGGGGGCTCACTGAACCTCACTGTATCATCTTCTGAGGTTTCTGTTGGTTCACTGTAATACATTTTTTCAGTACACAGTGTTATAAATTACCCTAGATGCAAGAGATGTCCCAACAGTATGCTAGACTCCACTGGCTGATACAGCAGCAGCCCTCTTGGGATTTGCAGTGCAAATGTTTAGTTCTCAAAAATGGAGGTCGTTTCTCGGTTATACTGTTACTGCTGTAGTCCCAGCACTGCGGGTAGCAATTTGCAATGCTGGCCCAAGACTTAAAGTAGATGAAGTAAATATTAGGCCAGCTTGATGGAGCAGTTATTCGTCATGCAGCAGTATAGACAGCTGATTTCATCTGGGATTTTCTGTGCTGCTTGGCACAGTCTTAATTCCACCAGCCTTCTCTGCTGAGAATGCGCACCCACATGTGTGTAGTGTCATCTTTTTGTGTTTGTCATCATCAGTTTGAATGTTTGTAAATGTGGCTGTTGTCATAAAATAATCCTGACCTAGCAAACAAATTATCAATTTAGCCTGAAATGCGAGTCAAGAAAATTAGGACTTACAAGCGAATTAGCTTGTGCTTAACATTATAATACATCTCATATTTAAGAACTGTGAGATCTAACCAAACATACTACCACCAAAAGGCAGTACAGAGCCTGCCTTGAGTTTTTAATCTGTTTAGTTCTATGAAGGAAACCTAGAAAGACTACTGCAGCCACGTAAAGGCTACCACACACCATACGAGGTAGTTTATTTTAGGCTCTACTTCTGTAAATTTCACGAAATAAAACTGTTAACACCATTTAGTGGGTTTGTCACAAACCCAGTTTTTCAAACTAAAAGGTTTGGGGCAAAATGGCTAGGCTAGTAACATTAGCTGAGGTAACAGATGAGTAACGTTTGTCTTTTTTTCTTAAGACTTTAGATTGGATATTTTTCATTGTGTAAAGTTCTGTGGCTTTTTTTTATGAGTATTTTTTAAATATCTTGTGCCTTACAAATGTCAAATATCAAATTGGACTGAGATGCCCACCCCTTGTGCACCCTGTAATCCATATTTGAATTGTTTTGAGCATCAAATCAAAACTAAAGTTGGGTCACTGAATAAATTTCCATAGCTAACTGATATGACAGTTGTTGTAATCATTTAAACACTTAGCATAAACTCTTATCCACAGTAAGTTTCAGTGCTAGGTAAATATAACATTAGCAGTCTAGTGGACTTTTATTATGGCGCTTCTGCCATGGAGGTTTAATTGAAGCTTTGATCTATTGTGTGTTTTGTGCTGGTGTTATCCAGTTGTAAAAGGATGGAAAATGCCCACCATTTGTGAGGAATGCTACAGCCAAAATGTGGCCGTTATTGGCTTCAGTTATTAGCTGTAATTCCAATTTTCTGATGCTAATAATGCATTTTCCTGTTTCTCATTACATAATATGTCAGCCTTCTTTAAAGAGAGCCTTTTTCCTCGTAGTGGGGAACCAAATATCCTCAAAATATTTGTTTCCCATCATTCTGAGGACAATTGGTCCCAACAACATAGTGCTAAATACACACATTTATAGCTTTCCTCATCTTTTATCACTCTCTTGTTTCAGAGATATGTACCATAGAATCGCAGCCTTGGACCCTGAGCGCCTGAATGTCTTCCGCACTGTCAAAGAAATCACAGGTGAGCCGCTACCATTGGGCATGTATAAGAGACTCCATAAGAGTAAGCAAGACTGTTACCATTCCATTAATAGTATTGCACTTTGCTTTTTTCTTCTTATGCCAAAAAAGGATTGATCACTTAATGCAGTGGAAACATTTCCTCTGCAGTAATATAACCCAAGCCAGTGTTTTAGAGAAAAAACACCGTTATTTTTTCCATATTCATGCCATTCTGCCCTCTTAAATAAAGAAATATGTCTTGTATTCTTTTCAGTTGTGCTCATGTTGAACACAATAAAGTAGGGGGTGCAAAAAAGTAGCCGCAATTCTTTCATTTTCAATAAGAGCAGGCGATTTGTGGTAACAGGAGTCAGCGCAAAACGTTGTCGGTGCAAAGTGGGCGGAGTTGGTGACAAGGTTGAGCACTGTTTACCTTTTTTAAGCAAATTAGGAGCAAAGCGATGCGGCGAACACAGATGGGAATTGAGCAGAGTGATATGTGCTTTACCTCAATCGCTGTGAAACCCTTTCGTTTTCTGGATATTGGTTCCTACAAGAGATGGAGGAATGGCATCGGAATGGCTTTCGCCGCAAATAGACGGCAACGATCGCAAAGACCAAACACTATTTTCTTTTCATACTGATTGCACAGGCAGTGATGCGCATCCTAATGTTTTACTCACATTTTTGTATGGTTTTTTTTGTACGGGAGAAAAAAATAATTGCAGTTTTTAAATAATTATTTTCCGTGATTCTGGCAGCAGGATGTGCATATTTTGTTGAGTTTTTATCTCAAAATAATCATTTTTTACTTAATGTTTTGACTTTTTAAGTTGAAATAATGACTTACTATGTCCAAATAATGCCTTATTTTGTTGAGATTTTAATTTGGTATGAAGTAGTGGCTTATCATGATTGGGTTACCCTTTAAAGTGTAGTTATTTAGAAAATAAGTCATATTTTGACATATCAAGTCAAACACATTGAGAAAATAGGTCTTTATTTTATCACAGTAACTCAAAACTTCGAGAGGTCAAACACAAGCCAAAATGGGTCTTATTGTCACTTTTTTTTTCATCTGGTGGAAACGGGCTTCCTTTTTTTTGGACTGGCATCTCTAAAATAGCCACATTAGTGCAAAAATAAGCCAGATATTTTCAAACAGCATCCAAAATCATCAGGTCAGTGTTTACTATCACTTTGTAAATTTGAGTAGACGGGTTATTATAATAATCTCCTACCAGAACTTTACGTTTTCAGAAGGAAACGCCTACAAAATCTGTGCACAAAGAGAGAAAAAAGAGCAGTGACCACTCCTTTGGTCTTATAATGGGTGGCAAAGGGCTGTTAAGCCATTTTCAGTACTGTGCAAAAGTCAGACCCCCCCTTTCACTTCTTTACTTGGCCTTTAAGTTCAAGTTATTCAGTTTTCAGCATCAGGAGCAAAAAAGGCAAGAAATTTATTGTATAGAAAATTACACAAAAGCCTCAACAACTAAGTCTAATATCAATTTTTCAGGATTTAATGTGTCCACTCTTTGCCTTTATAACAAATTGTATTTTTTTTTAAGAGACTTGCTTTCAGTTCTTCAAAGAAATCTGCAGGCGTATTTTTTCACACCTCCAAAGTTCAGTTTTAGAAGTTGGTTATGTTTGTTTTTTCTCTTTCTCACGATCCAAGTGAAGGCCTCAGCATATGCTATGACATTTTATGATAAGTTTCATGACTGTTGGAACACGATTTGTTCACTTCGGCGATGTTTGAGTTCAGAATACAACCACCATTTAAGGTGGAATGGGGAAATTCAAACAAGAAGCTGGTGAATACAAAGCCAACTTCAGCCTTGTCCTCTTGTGAACCTAAATATAAGATAACCTGTATGTTTTGGTGCTTAGTACTAGTTAGTACTACTGAATAACAGACTTAACATCCTGCATTCAGGAGGTATTCATTGTTCATTTAACAAATACGTGTTTCACAGTGAAATATTAGTGTATCTGCCAAAGCCGAAGCTCCTCAAAGTTGTCCATCTTTGTTTAATTTGTTCCAAGCCCAGCTGCCATGTGCACGACAGGACGAACGAAGCCTCTGCGCGATGTCTGCGACTGTTCGTATTCTCTGCAATTACGTCACATTGTTCGCTGAAGCCAGGCGAACGCCATCTCCGCAAGAAGTCTGCTGAGGCCTTGACACAATCACATTCAATGATGTTTAGGTTTGGACTCTAGGATGGACAGTCCATTGACAGTCACTTTTCAGTGCCAGAATAGGGTTTCCAATGCCCCTTAGAAGTAGATCTTCTCTTTTATCTTTCAAAACAGATACCAAGAAGCACCCAAACTGTGTTTCTACGTGTAAGCTAGCAATCACTCATGTGTACACACTCATTCAGTGTGTGATCTATCACTTCTTCGTTTACGAGTTTCCGCCTCCTTAGTCTTTGAACATTCATCGTTGCGTATTTGCGCTTTTGGTGAAGGGAAATATTAATTTGCGAGATGAAATACAAAAGCAAATACAGCACAACAACGAGCTGTTCCTCATATTAAAGCTCTTCGTCACTTCGAGCCCACACTGCCGGGTGTGCCAAATAGCTAATGAAGTGAAACATTCCCTTCATAATGAAAATGCTAGCAGGAGGAAAGAGCAATGACATCGCTTCTTCATATTTCGGCTGTCGATCATTCCAAACAAAATTATGGTTGATGACATTAAAATTCATCTTTAACTAGCATGATGTTGTTGTTTTTTCCTTTTTTCAGTTGAAAATAATAGACTTTCTTTGCAGTTTAGGGATTATAGAACAAGCCTGCTTATGTATAAATAATATACTCACATTAATGTGTGTATATATATATATATATATATATATATATATATATATATATATATACCGATCAGTCATAATATTATGACCACCTCCTTGTTTCTATGTTCATTGTCCATTTTATCAGCTCCACTTACTATATAGGTGCACTTTGTAGTTCTACAGTTACAGACTGTAGTCCATCTGTTTCTCTGATACTTTGTTAGCCCCCTTTTACCCTGTTCTTCAGTGGTCAGGACCCCCATGGACCCTCACAGAGCAGGTACTATTTGGGTGGTGGATCATTCTCAGCACTGCAGTAACACTGATGTGGTAATGGTGTGTTAGTGTGTGTTGCGCTGGTCTGAGTGGATCAGACACAGCAGAGCTGTCATAATGTTATGCCTGATTGGTGTATATATATGTGTAAAATAGGTGCACATCCTTAACAGAGAACACACTTCTGCATATTGTACTTTTGAATTAGCTGAATTTAACACATTAAAAAAAAAGTGGCTTGGATAAAAGTTAGGGCACATTTTATATTTTTATATTTCATTTTTCCACTGTGTTAAACTCAGCAAAGAACAATGGAAATTGTGCACTAAAATTTAAAAAGCAATGTCATAATTAATTTATTCTCTGTAGATGAGATGTGTAAAGTTTTTTGTGCTACAAGCATCCTTATATTTTTGAGTATATCTTCAAGTCATCAAGTGATCTACATCCTCTGACTGAGCATTATCTAAGATTTTCACTTATATTGTGCAGAATATAAATAAACATAAATACAAAATAAATACAAAAATTGAAAAACACTTTTGCTGGAAAACTGAAATGTAGGGCATGCAGGGTGTAGAGAAATGGGTACGATGAGGCAGGGAAGTTTGATGCATGACCATGTAAATTCCTGTAAAGCTGAACACGTGAAATTTGAAGTTGTTGAAGTTTAAAGACAACATATTAGAGCTTTGCTCTTAAATTAGATTTTTATGATCATGCAAATCTTAACGTAATAAACCTTCATGTGAAGTTTTGCAGGATAATTTCTCCCAGAATAGCTTCGTATTGTTGGACCATTGTCTAACAGTGAATTCATTTGCACTTTTCTCTCATCTCAGGCTTTTTGAACATCCAGTCATGGCCGGAGAACATGACGAACTTTGGGGTCTTTTCCAGCCTTGCTACGATCGGGGGGAGATCGCTGTACAGGTAAAAAGTGTACACTGACAGTGTTCCTCAGGGGACATGTGGGGGGTCTAGACCTACAGCTGCATTTTGGACAATGTCTGTGTTAAAAGTGCTATACAAATACAATTTAACTGAACTGTGGACAATTGAGTGACAGTTAATGAGCATATAATGAGCACATATTATTAAGTAATTACTCAATATTACTCAATGTAAATTGACATGCACCCATAGTCCAACTTATGCTGCATTCACATGTTGGTGGTAGATGATGGCAAACTGGATGTTGGAAAGTTTCACCAAGAGTTAAATTTTACCAACTTTTGCCATCAACCACAGCATGAAATATACCAGATGTTGATTTTTTAGGGAGCCACTGATGCCAAACTTCTCGCTGTTGAATTCCAGACGAAGGGTACCGAGCGTCCTCCTACCTTTTTCCACCTTAAATAAACAGTCTACACTGTGAAAGCTCTCGTCTGATAATCATCTTCTTCTCCGGCACTGTAGTCACTATGCCAACATTTATGTGGCTTGATGTCACCGTTGGTTATGTACTGCTATGAGGTGCGGTATGACGCTTTTGAACGCAAACATGAGCGCAGCATAAGTTGTTAATTAATCTTAAGACCTGGACTTAATCAGCACATTTACAAAAGCTATATAAGAGACCAGTTCATTTCTAGTTTAATTCACATGTAGGGCATGACTTTATAACACATAGGCCCAATCCCATTTCACCCCTTGCCCCTACCACTTAGCCCTACCCCTCCATTTTGCGCATTCACGTCTAGGGGTAGGGTGTCCCGATTGTTGCTGAGATAGAGGGGTAGAGGGAAGTGTTAGGGCTACATGGCCCTCCAAACGGAGGTTTTTCAGAGACACTCCAAACAGTGAGTTATGAGAAACAAAGAAAACCTGGCAAGATGGCTGAACAAGAGACCAAAGAATCCCACAAATGTGAGAATTTTCTCTGTTACAAATTACAATAACCATTTTATTATCTTAGTTAAATGTATCAATGTTTTATGGTCATTTTCTTCATAACAAGCATAAAAAATCACTAGTAGTAGCTGATGTCATGGTAGCTAGCTAGCTAATTTTCCTGTTCCACCTTAAGTAGTCCAGCAGTTCTGACGCCTCAAGTTTCAGAATGTAACTGCTGCTCCATTTAAGGTGGAACAGGAAAATTCAAACAAGAAGCTGGCGAATAGCCGACTTCAGCTTCATATCACTATAGAATTAGGGGTGGGCGATAATAATTATTGTGTCCTTGTTTTGAAAGCATAAGATTTCCTAAATGTAACTAAAGCCCAGCAGTGAGGAGCTGAACTTTACCCTCCTCTGCTGTCACTGCAGACTGGCAGGGTCGCCTACAGAGCAGCACTGGTAGCCTGTTAATGAAGTAATGTACCTTTTTTTTTAAGGGTCCCATCTCGTAGGGAAGATTTCAACCACTACCACTTGTAACTCAGTTCCAAGGTGTAAGGTGACACTCGAAAAGAAGGGGTAGGGCTAAACAAAATAAATGAGATTAGGCCATACTATATTTTCACATCAGTATAATACTGCACACAGATCTGTAGCAACAAGGTGAAGACCATGGCATAGTTTGTGGCAGTGAGGTAACTTGTGTGCAGCTGTGGTTAGCCAAGGAGCTAACATAGCAGTTAGCAAGCTGGCTATCTCACCTATCATAAACATTAAAAACACAAAACTGAAACTGAACATAAAATATGTACTCAGCAATATATGTTAATCTACAGCAAACAAGTATAGGTAACTGGTGCCATCCTTCCCATCTCTGGCTGTATCCATACTGCATAGACTACTGCATAACTCCTAGTACCATTAGCATAATTTGTTATTAGTCTAACTTAGATGATTCAGTACAATTCTTCATATCATCAGATCAGTGGCTTCAAATCCGCAGTACCTCACTCATCCACTGAGCCCTGTGAATTCAGAGTCTCTTCACTCCATCCAGAGGCTTTCTGGCTTTTCTCCAGAGCAGCTTGGAAAGCAAAGACCCCTGTGCTGATCATACTAATGAAGCAGTTTGTCTTGCTCGGGCCTTCTCCTGAATCCCCCGCCTTCAAACGGCCCCTTTGATGCACTGAAAGACCTCCTTTGATTAATATGCTGTTTTTATTGCTGGTTTACATTCCCTGATCTTATCAGATCAAAGACTGTCTCCTTTTTGCATCATTTATTTTATATTTATTTTTGGCGATATGCATTTACATTCGTCATCAGAAGCAAAACTCTAAGTGGTGATGGAATTTCATGTTTTTTCAGAGTTTTGAGTGTACTTTCAACACGCATACCACTCAGAAGTTTGGAGGCACTGTTTAAAAGTGTGGAAGCAACGATATAAAATCAATTTACAAATAAAGGTTATGAACTAAGATGTCCAAGAGAAGCATTAGTGGCCAGAGAAATGAATGAATGTACACAGAGATTCAGTGATACAACTACTGGCCAACATTGCTCCTTGTAAAACCGAACCTCTTCCGGCCTTCACTTTTATTTGAGTGCTTTTCTCTTTGAAGTATTATTTCTCATTAATATATGCAGTATTTGTAAAAAACAGGAGATACAGATTATGAGGACGCATTTGCTGAGCATGTTTGTGATAATTTTGTCTAAACCAAAATGTGCACTTATGGATTGCTTTACAGTATAAATCTTAGAGTAGTCAATGACATGAACTCTTATGGTCACTTCCTTGCTGTGAAGAGCCATATGGACAATTTGGCCATTTCAGCAAACATTTGTTCATTTTAAAGTGAGCTTGAATTTAAAAGGTGGTATATAAATGAAATGTACAAATATTACTTGCACAGCAACAGTTCTATAAGCCATTATCAATAACACCAATATGTTATATACATACTCATTGTTTGTAAGGTTTCTCTGCCATAATTATTGTCATAGATTATTATCTGACATTAACAAATTTTCCTGGTGACATCATGAAAATACTAAAAATGCAGTACTAATATTAAAAGTGAATGTAACAATTTGGAAATTGGCTCCTTCTTATACCTGTTTTCCCACCTGTCATTGTTGCTCACATGCTCCAACTTTACCTTACAATTCCCATTTATGTTAATAGTTTTTTTTACCCTCTCCCTCCAGTGGGATCTCTCTGCTGATCCTGAAGCAGCGCTGGATCAGCTCCCTCCAGTTCCAGTCCCTGCGGGAGATCAGCGCCGGAAATGTCTACATCACCAACAACAGCCAGCTGTGCTACTACAACACTGTCAACTGGACCAGCCTGTTTCGCACCAGTGGTCAGAGAGCCCTCATCAAGAGCAACAAGGACCCACGAGAATGCAGTGAGAGTGCTTGGCCCCCTATATTGCCACTGTGTTCTATTAACTACCTGCTTTCATTTATACAGAGACACTACTATTACATTTACTACTACTAGCTTTCTTAGGTCTGTCTGTGTGTGTGTGTGTGTGTGTGTGTGTGTGTGTGTGTGTGTGTGTGTGTGTGTTTGACAGCCCATGAGCGGATGGTGTGTGATAAGCTGTGTTCAGAAGCTGGATGTTGGGGTCCTGGTCCAGATCAGTGTCTGTCCTGCAGGTTCTACAGTCGAGGCAGAACCTGTGTGAAGTCCTGCAATCTCTACAGTGGGTGAGTGTTTGTGTGAATATCAAATTACAGCTAAACTCTGCAAAGATGAATCATTAACTATCCTGAGTGTTTGATAATGACCATAAGTAGGCCAATGTCTGGGCCTTGTACTTTGGTATGGAACACATTCCATTTTGTGGTGCAGTCAGTCAGTCGCAAGTCAGCCAATCTGTTACCCAGTCAGTCACTCAGTCAGTGAGACACTCATTCAGTCAGTCAGCTAGTCAGTTAGCTAGTCAGTCATTCACTTAGTCAGCCAGTCCATCAGTCAGTCAGCCAGTGAGTGAGCCAGTCAATCACCCAGTCAGTCAGTCACTTAGTCAGTGAGACACTCATTCAGTCAGTCAGCTAGTCAGTTAGCTAGTCAGTCAGTCACTTAGTCAGCCAGTCTGTCAGTCAGTCACTTAGTCAGTGAGACACTCATTCAGTCAGTCAGCTAGTCAGTTAGCTAGTCAGTCAGTCAGTTTGTCAGCCAGTCTGTCTCCCAGTCAGTCATTCAGTCAGTCAGTCAGTCAGTCAGTCAGTCAGTCACTGAGTCAGCCAGTCAGTCACCCAGTAAGTCAGTCAGTCAGTCAGTCAGCTAGTCAATGAGCCAGTCGGTAAGTCATTCAGTCAGTCAGTCAGTCAGTCAGCTAGTCAGTGAGACAGTCGGTAAGTCATTCAGTCAGTTAGTCAGTCAGTCAGTCAGCTAGTCAATGAGACAGTCGGTAAGTCATTCAGTCATTCAGTCAGTCAGTCAGTCAGTCAGTCAGTCAGCTAGTCAGTGAGACAGTCAGTAAGTAATTCAGTCAGTCAGTCAGCTAGTCAGTGAGACAGTCAGTAAGTCATTCAGTCAGTCAGTCAGTCAGTCAGTCAGCTAGTCAGTGAGACAGTCAGTAAGTCAGTCAGTCAGTCAATCTTATTTGTCAGTAAGTTTAAATACAATAAAAATGAACAATAATCATATCAGACCAAAACAGCACTGCTATAAACTTGTGAACTCTTCCTTATTAATAAAATAATAAATTGTGCCTTAACATCTTCACGCATGAAATTGATTCTCAATTTCTTCAGACCAAGGAGGTTTCTTTGATCAGGCTTCTTTAATTGCCCACTGTCCATTCCATTCCCCTCTTGATCTTCTCATAAGTCTCTTATGGAACCGTTTGTGAGATGGACAATAATAAACACAAGAATACTGACGACTGCTACTCGTACTGGGACAGATCAGACTAATGAGGCCCTGCTTTCAGAGGAGGAACGCTTATCTTTCAGTTGTGCTGCTGTTGATACACTGAGGTTGATGTTTCACAGTAGACCTGAACTCTATCTTATAGAAGTATTAGATATGCTAATATGATTAAAGGCTGAAGGAACATATTTATGCCAAATACTTACCAGCTCATCAAGTCAAGTTATGGCAAAGACTAGCATTAAATGCCAACTTAATGAAAGTTGGTAGAAGCTAGCGTTTAGCAAATAAGTTCATGCTAACCAAGCTTTTATTTTTATTAGCCTTGTTAGCATGATAGAAAATCACATTTTTATTATAATGTAATGGCTTTAAATGATCTTGAAGGCAGTTTCTTCTAGAGGCCTCAACATCTCTCCTACACAATATAACAATGTAAGCATAGGAAAAGCAATTTTTTAGCAAAATGTGCATATCTTCCTTACGGGTCATGGACCATGACTAAAAACCTGACCGTCTGTGCTTTTCAGAGATGTTCGGGAGTTTGCCAATGGTTCGGTGTGTGTGGAGTGTGACAGCCAGTGCGATAAAGCTGGAGATAAAACCCTGACCTGCCACGGCCCAGTAAGTAACTAAAGAAGTGCTTCCTAAGGCCAGATGGTGCATTTTACCTCCAATTACTGCATCTGTAAAGATTTCTATAACAATGAATTATTTATAAAATGACTGGTTTAACAAATATCGGGCTCCCAATAGGCTGGTTTAGCAAATATCGGGCTCCCACAATGCTGGCTTAACAAATATTGGGCTCCCAATGGGCTGATTTAGCAAATATCGGGCTCCCAATGGGCTGATTTAGCAAATATCGGGCTCCCAATAGGCTGGTTTAACAAATATTGGGCTCCCAATAGACTGATTTAACAAATATCAGGCTCCTAATAGACTGGTTAGCAAATATCAAGTTCCCAATATGCTGGTTTAACAAATATCGGGCTCCCAATAGGCTGGTTTAACAAATACTGAGCTCCCAATAGGCTGATTTAACAAATATTAAGCTTCCAAAAGACTGTTTTAACAAATATTGGTTTCCCAAGAGACTGGTTTAACAAATATTGGTCTCCCAATAGACTGGTTTAACAATCTGGACTTAATAACTGGTTTAGTGATCGGCTTTTTAAAACTAACCTTGGATATTCATTAACATTATGAATAGGTCGCCAATTAACTGAATTTTCCAATGAATTTTAACATCTGTTAAAACAATTTTGGCAATAACTTTTTAATGTAGCTTGGTATGACTTTATGAAGCAACTAAAGAACATCAAAAGAAACATCAAAAGCCAGCAATCAAAAAGAATCACAGAAGTGACTTGATAAAGATTAATCAAACTCTAGGATTATTTGCAATAACATTATGTCACAATCTGAGCAAAAGACATGTACATGGCCATGCACTAAACTTCAGTTTTGGTGGGCTACCAGGACTTGTAAGGTTATAAGTGTCCCAATTTTTATGTTTCAAGATCTACAAAAAATATTTTAAATTGAAGTTAAAAAAATTCTCTATATCAAAGATGTTTTGGTCTTTGGTTTTGGAAACTCTTTTTTTTATTTACTTCCTTTTCAGTTTATTTGAGTTCATCTGAGTTCATTCTTTATACAAGTGGTTTGATACAATATCTAATGTCCTCAGCAAAACCTCCTGAAAAATAATTAAACATGTTCCTTAAGGTCATTTTAAATGGAACTCGTGGTCTTTTTGTACAGTATGATATTTGAGTTAGTACTTTTTGGTTTTGACGATTACACTCAGAACGTGTAATTATGTTGCACAAATTGCAGTGAATTTGCTTTGAGAATCTTACTGACTATTACTTTTACAAAGCCAACTTCTTAAACATGTTAGTTGAAGTCTTTTAATCATTTAGTGTTGAAGATCTTCTGATCTTTAAATGAAAAGTAAAAATCAAAGATTTACTCTGGTGGCTATGAATGGTGGAATGTTGAGAAAATTCAATTCTAACTGCCAACCAATAATGTCCAAACGGTATCTATCACACTGCCCGTCAAACACTTACTAGAACTTACATACATACACACATATACAGTAGCCACCACCTGGGATACTAAGCAATGGTCTAGCGAAACCTTGATAACCACCTGGGGTAACATGGCAATGGCCAAGCAACACCTTAGCAACCATCTAGGATACCACAGCAATGGCCTACCAACATCTTAACAACTACCTAACAACCACCAAGCAACTTCCTGCCAACAAGCATGAATACCATAGCAACCTCATAGCAACTACTTGGAATAACTGTATAAACCCAAGTAAGTGATCAAAAAACAGTCAACAGTGTTCTGCAACTACTTTCTCTTTTCTATGTTTGTACATGAGCTTTCAGTGTCTAGTTATCACTAGACCCCTTTAAGAGTCCTGATTTTGCTATGGAATTTAAATTTCATTAGTGATTACATGATTAATTACGTAGTAATTACATGACAGGTAAGCCTTAAAATCGGTTTACAGTCTGTACTGACAGATTCAGGTCTGCTAAGTCTTTTTCTGTTTGTCTCATGGCAACAAACATCAAAACAAAATGTAAAGACTGGCTTCGTTCACAGAGCAATTATATTTCATCATAATTACATTATAATAAAGTGATTTTGCTTCAACTGAACGTGTAGAAACAAACTTTTGGCAGAATTTCTTTTTTTGTTTCAAAGAGCTGCCATTGAGAAATACTTCATACAACATTTCACCATGCTTTTGTCATTGGCGGTGGTAACTGCAAGCTCCTCAGGTTAATAATGCAACCCACATACCAAGAAGTATCAAAGTTCTGGGACCTTGTGAAAATATCGATTTCCACGTTATACACTGAAAAGGAATGTGATGAATTTTCGGCCAAATCCCTTTGCAGAGTCGATCAAAGTTCCCATTTGTGAGCTCCACTGCATGAGTAAATAATCTTTACGATGCGCTGCTGGAGGAGCTTCTCACTCTTTCTAAACTGTGATCCACAATGTTACAGACAGCCTCATAAATAATGACTCCAGCTGAGGGCTGTTTTTCCAACATGGAAACAGGGCAGTGTCAGGCACTGTGTACAACAACTGTCAGCCTCGCTCTTCCTTCCAGGTGAAAGCCTGTCCATCTACTCTCTCTAACATGCATAATTAACATCCTGAAGCATGTTAGACACTGTAAGAAGTTGACCATCCATGTGACAACCAGTGCAGGAGAGGCTAACCCACATATTTACTGTGTCAAAGGGCTCCTTTGTTTATTTCCCATCAAGTACTAGTGCGTATCTATGAACCAGTGTTGTATTTAAATTAGGAAATGATTCGAAAACACTTGAAAGAAGCTATTTTGCTGCATTTTAAGTTGATTAAATATAGTGTTTACACTTATCCCCTGTTCTTCAATGGTCAGGAATTATTTGGGTGGTGAGTCATTCTCAGCACTGCAGTAATATTGACGTGGTGGTGGTGTGTTACGCCGATTTGAGTGGATCAGACACAGCAGTGCTGCTGGAATTTTTAAACACCTCATTGTAGCTGCTGGACTGAGAACCAAAAACATCCAGCCAACAGCGTCCTGTGGGCAGCGTCCTGTGACCACTGATGAAGGACTAGAGGATGACCAACACAAACTGTGCAGCAGCAGATGAGCTATCGTCTCTGACTTTACATCTACAAGGTGGACTGACAAGGTAGGAGTGTCTAATAGAGTGGACAGTTAGTGGACATAGTGTTTAAAAACTCCAGCAGCACTGCTGTATATGATCCACTCGCACCAGCACAACACACACTAACACACCACCACATCAGTGTCACTGCAGATAATAGCACCTGCTCTGTGAGGGTCCATGGGGGTCCTGACCACTGAAAACCAGAGTAAAAGGGGGCTAACAAAGTATGCAGAGAAACAGATGGACTATAATCTGTAACTGTAGAACTACAAAGTGCTCCGGTATGGTCAGTAGAGCTGACAAAATGCGTTATTGTGTGTTATTGTTTCCCCCCTTGCCATCTCTCTCTCTCTCTCTCTCTCTCTCTCTCTCTCTCTCTCCCCGCTGTAGGGTCCAGATCAGTGTACGAAGTGTCTTCATCTGAAAGACGGTCCTAACTGTGTGGAGAAATGTCCTGATGGGCTGCAGGGAGCCAACAGCTTCATCTTCAAATACGCTGAAAGCAACAACGAGTGCCATCCCTGCCACCCCAACTGCACCCAGGGGTAAGAGTGAGTGAGTGAGCTTGTTTTCCTACACTTTCAAGACAAAGATGCCCTGACTATGTAGGAAAACCAGGAAAAACAGTGCTGGTAAAACTGAAAACAATTCCTTGATTCCTGAGGTTAAGGTTAAGGCTATGTTTGGAAAATTCTTAATACGTATAGCCACAGATGTATGATACATATTTATACAACAGTTAGTTCTGGCCACACAAGCTGATTGGTTGAGAAGTGTTCTAACTGTGCTGTTATTTCACCATAACATCAGTCACAAACACTATCACTCTGCTGAGACGCCGTTGCTAAGCAACGACTTTGACAGCTGTAGGAGACGCTCAATCCATTTGAACGTTTTTACTTCTTACTTTGCCACAAACAAAAAACGGATGCTTTTAAGATCACATTTGACCGACAGCCGATTTGGTCAGACTCTGAAGATGAGGCTACACTAAACTCCCAAACTGTCATCACCACTGAGCAGCTTTTCAGTCGGCAGCTGTGACAGAAGAACAGCTAAACAACCTGGAATCAGCCAGAAATGAACCCAATCCCATTCGCCAAACTAAATGGGCTGTAAGATGCTTTACAGACTGGCTGGAACAAAACAACATTAATACTGATCTGGTAAAAACTGACAAAACTGAGCTAAACCTGATATTGCGCCAGTTTTACGGCTCAGTCTGATTTGGTCAGACTCTGAAGATGGTATTGGGTTCATTTCTGGCTGATTCCAGGTTGTTTAGCTGTTCTTCTCTCACAGCTGCCGACTGAAAAGCTGCTCAGTGGTGATGACAGTTTGGGAATTTCGTGTAAGGAGCTGGAGAATGAACTGCTGGCTGTGCAGTGAGTGGGCGAAGCTCGTTACTCTGACGTAGCAACTGGCTACTTGTTAAGGAACTATAATCTGGCAGAAGGAACTGCTAACATTAAAAAATATTAAATGCCGCATTACTTTATATTACTTTATTTAACTGTTGTATAAAAGCAATAGAACACTTGATGTTGTGTGTTATCGCAAATAACGTCACAACTGTGTTGATATTTCACAATAACACACCCCCTCTCGTGTTTTATTGCTTAAATCAGACATAGTATTATTACATACTGATACTTACTTATTCAGTACCCCACAAAAGTCAAAGACTTTATTTATTAAATGCATCTTATTTCCAGTCAAAACAGCCATTAAGCTCAAGCTATTCAGGAGACATTTATAGGGAGATTAGATGTGTGTAAGGAAGGAGAAAGTCAAAGGAAAATTAGTGAAAAACCAGGGGTTCCCAAAAATGGAAGATGTGCAGACTCTCAACAACCATGCAAAACCTGGTAGACCACCAATACTGCCCTCTTTAGATAAACAGCATTTAAAGCTTTCATCTTTGAGAGACAGGAGAAAATCAAGCTGCTTCAGATCTGAAAACATCCACAGGTGTTTCTGTCCATCCTTCCACTGTGAGAAGACAACTCAGTGCTATGGGTCTGAAAGGATGTGTAGCTGATCAAGAAGCCCTAGTAACGGAAATAGACGAAAAAGAAGAACGTTTACACTAAAATACCAAAACTAGACATCTGGACATCTGGGATGTGGAGGTTTTATGGGCTGATGAGTCTAAATTTGTAATTGGAATTACTTGGACAATGGAAACAAAACAATACAACCAACTTCTAAGACTGAACTTAGAAGGAGTGGAAAAATATCCCTGCAGATTTCCTTGAAAACGGAAAGAAGTTCTTTCACAAAGAATGAGTGCTGTAATAAAGACATATATACTGACCAGCCACTTCATTAAGTACACCTTTTTGTATTTACACTCAATGTCCATTTTATTAGATCCACTCACAACATGCCAACATGTTGGTGTCACTGCAGCGCTGGAAATGGTCCACCACCCAAATAATAACTGTTCTGTGGGGGTCCTGTGGGGGTCCTCACCACTGAAGAACAGGGTAAAAATGTATGCAGAGAAACAGATGGACTACAGTCTGTAATTGTAGAACTACAAAGTGCTCCTAGATGGTCAGTAGAGCTGATAAAATGGACAATGAGTGTAGAAACAAGGAGATATACTTAAGGAAGTGGCTGGGCGGTGTGTATATACATATGACCCCCCCCATGCATGTGTGTATGTGCGTATGTATCCCCCCAGACCTGCAGGCGCACCAGCTGCTCCCAGAACTAATTGGATTTTTGTGTAAGCTGGTTCCAAGAAAAGCTACAGAACACAGCACTCTTTTCTCCTTATTTTGTTCTCTCTCTCTCTCTCTCTCTCTCTCTCTCTCTCTCTGTCTGTCGTTCTCTCTATACTCCAAAAATCAAAGATCTTTGTGATACTCTCGCCCTTCGTTGCATAGCGTCCCCGCTCCCTTCATCTCCACGGTGACGGTTGTCGCCGTTGGTTACTGTCAGGCCTCCACTGATCCTTTGCTGAATCTAGTCACCCAGGCAACAACCTCCAAAAAAAAAAAAACAACACAAAAACCAAAGACGACACCAGGTCCTTAATACAGGCAGCAGCAGAGAAACGTCCAGTGCAGCAATACGACTCTCTACATAATCATGTCAACCAGAAAAATCACACGACAAAGACCAGGCGTTTACTATGCTTGCATTCGCTGTTCTGTTTTGAAAGAAATGGTGTTCATGCAAGTCTACAACTTCAGTGAGATAGACTAACTGCTGCTCTAACGTCAGGGCTCCCTTAACATATTAAGAAGTTTTGTTTTTTATTTGAGTTATTCTACCAAATTCGTTCAAAATCAGAGTTGGAAACTGACATTGAGTGCGCTTACATGCACTCAATAATCCAATAACTGCAGAAAATCTGATTTTGTCAGTAATCCGATCAACACGTTTACATGCACTTGAGTAATTAGGTAATGGGAAACTCTGTGTCAACATAACTCAGACAGTAATCAGATTTCTAAAATGCAGGGGTGTGGCTAAAATAAGGCGCTGCCTACAGACTAAAACGCTTTGTGTTTTGTTAGTGACAGGAAAACCAGGGACAGCATTTTTAATTATTTTTTTATTTAAACTCATGACAAATCAAAATCTTTCTTTAAAAGAAACTTTTTAAAAAGCAGAACAAATTAAGTGTTATTTTCACAAGGAATTTGGAATTTCATGGTTTCATGGTTAGGCTTAGGCAGACACTTTACAATAAAAAGCTCTAAAATCTATATTTGTTTATGTTTTTAGCTTATTACTATCTCAATTAACCCCTTAAAATCCAGGTGTGTTACGTACTGACACTTATTGTTCAGTACCTACAGGGACTTAAGTGCAAACTGGCTAAGCTGTTCTTAGGCTACGTTTACACAGCAGGTAAAAGTGGCCCAGATCGGATTTTTTTTCGTCATATGTGACACAGATGTGTATCTGTGTGGCAGTGTGAACTGCAAAAACACACTGAATCTGACATTTTCAATTCCCATTTGAGACGCTTTCATATGTGCTACTGAAATCCAATCCATATCCGATCTGAGGCAATGTGACTCAGTCTGAACAGTTAGATCAGAATTCATGCGGCTTTTACGTCAGTACAACTCGACATTTGTCATAATTTCATGCTGCTGAGACTTCATAAACATTTGGGATGATTTCTGTACAAAAATTAGAAGAGACTAATTGCAACCGCTCCATGTTCGAAGGGATTTTGAATGAAATGGCCAAATGCGGCCGTAGGAGAACGAGGCTGCAGCGTCAAAGAACAGTTAATAGTCTGAAAGCAAAGGTTAAAGAATCTGAGGACATGAATCAAAGAAGTGACCGTGGCTGAATAACGTACCCTTTCTACTGCAAGCTCAAACACACTGTGGGTGATAAGCCCTGCTGTCAGTCAATGATCGCTTCTGTGGTGCTGGTGAAGATGAAACATTGTTCTTTTGCGTGAGTCAGTTTAGGAGCTGATCTGTTCAGACTGATGTCACGTAAAGACCACATTTAAAACAAAAAAATCAGATTTGGTGAGAGAATCAGATTTGGGCCACTTTCACCTGCTGTGTCTTAGTTTACAGAGGTGTGTAATAAGTTCTTGGGCCAGTGAGTGGGCTCTGGCTGTTTAAGGGTTAATGTTTTGGGTTTAAATAGATTATACTATAATTCCTATAAATAACTAAGCTCTGAATAATTCATCGTTTTGTAAATATTTTTTTCCTGTGGAACTGCAGTTTGAACTAATTCAGTACCAAAAAATAGACAAGATGAACATTTGCAAATCAAATAAATAAGCTGCTGGTGCTTTCAGAATAATGGACTGTCCATCTCAGAGTCCAGACCTCAACATCATTATATGTGTTTGGGATTATTCGGATTGTGAGAAACAAATGCAACCAATTTTTTACAACTGAACTTTGGAGGTGTGAACAAATATCTCTGCAGTAATAAAGGTAAAACGTGTATGTATTAAATACTGAAAAAAACACATTTAGTTTTGGATGCTTCTGTGTCATTTTCAGTGACTTGTACAACCCCATTTACAAATAAGTTGAGACACTGTGTAAAATGTAAATAAAAAAAAAATGCATTGGTATGCAAATCATTTAAACCCTATGTTTCATTAAAAATAGACATAAACAGGATCCAGAAATGCTGCCACCTTCTCTGGGCCCAAGCCCATTTAAAATGGACTGAGACGATGTGGAAAAGTGTCTTGTGGTCCGAAGAATCAACATTTGAAATTGGCAACATATGCTTTCAAAACTACAGCAGCGTCTCCTCAGTTCCCAAACGCTTACAGAGTGCTGTTAAAGGAAGAGGTGATGAAACAGTGGTAAACATGTCCCCGTCCCAACTTTTTTGGAACATGTTTTTGGCATCAAATTCAAAATGGGCATATATTTTTCAAAAAAACATTAAATTTCTCAGTTTCAACATTTGATATGTTGTCTTTGTAGTATTTTCCTTTAAAAAATATGGTTTTACATGATTTGCATATCACTGCATCCTATTTTTATTTACATTCTGCACAGCGTCCCAACATGTTTGGAAATGGGGTTGTACTTACTGGCTGTTTTGACTGCACATGAAATACTTGAAGGGTGGTCTTTTTATTTTCCATATATCTGTTTATAAACACATAAACCTGCATTGTTTAATAATAAAAGCATTTTCCAAATTTGTGTTGGAACATTTTGCAAGAAGCATTTTCCATCTTCAAAGTGTACTGTTTTGTCAGCATCACTGCTAAACGAAAACATACACAGTGGTCAGTGGTCAGTGGTTTAAAGCAGGAGCTGTTGGGTAGTTTGATGGAGTCCAGATGGAAGAGATTAAATTCCCTACCACATGTTTTAATTTGCCCCTCGCTGTGTTTCTCTGCTGGTTCTGTGTCTCGTCCTAAACAAGCTCAGTTCAGTAAGAACCAGTTACCACGGACCTATTCTGAATATTAAAAACACTCCCGGCATAAATCTCTGAAATAGGCTCCAGGAATTGCATTACATGGTATTCATCATAATACAATTCCACGGATTATTTATCTCCTTGGTGGGAATGCCGATTAGTTATCTATGCATTACTAATGAGCAGTAAGTTCTAAACTATGCTGGTAGTGCAATATGTAATCAATAATTTAAAAGCAAGAAGTGCACCAAATGGAATGTAACCATAGCTTCATGAGCCCATGATCTCCACCAATAAATCTCAGAGAGACTGTATGCGCAAGTGTTTCTTCAGTGGACTTCCATTGTTCTACATTGTCTTCCATTTAGGGCTTTAAAGTAAAGTGGACATTGTGCTTGTTTGTCTATTTGCATGTTTATTTGAATTTTTTATTAAATGCTTGGAGATGCATGTTGAAAATCATATGTCAGGCCGTTGACTCTGTTTTGGTTGCAGGTGCACTGGACCCCGCATCCAAGACTGCGTTGGACTACTGGACAGGTCAGAAAAAATCTCAGTTAATATATGACTGGTGCAACCATGTAATGTGTAAATATGGTTTTGTTAGATCAAATCAACAGCAGAAAGATGTATTTCCTTGTTTGAAGTTGTGGTTGAGATCAAGACAAACCAGGGGCTAACTTTATTTGGACAGCCGCAAGTAAAGTATCTATAGATGTTTAATTTATTAACAAACTGTTAAAAGTTGGTTGATTCTCAAGGTTAGGGTTAGGTTTAGGACGGGGTGAGGGTTGGGTTTAGGTTTTGGTATGAGGTTAGGATTAGGTTTAGAATCAAGTCAGTGTTAAGTATTAGGGTAAATAAGGCTAAAGTTAATAGCTAGTTAGTAAAATGTACACTATATGGCCTAAAGTATGTGAGCACCTCATTTCAAAACTATAGGCATTAATGTAAAGTTAGCCCACCTTTTGTGGCTATAAAAACCTCCATTTTTCTAGGAAGGCTTTCAACAAGATTTTGGAATGTCTGCGGGAATTTTTGCCCATTCATTCAAATAAACATTTGTGAGGTCAATGATGTTGGACAAGAAAGTTTGGCTCGCAATGTTCCAGTTCATCCCAAAGGTGTATAGTGATGTTGTCTGTGGAGACCACCGAAGTTCCTCCATACCAAACCAATCAAACCATGTCTTTATGGAGCTCTCTTTGTGCACAGGGGCTCGGTCATGCAGGAACAGGAAAGGCTCTTCCCCAAACTGCTGACACAAAGTTGGAAGCATTAATTACCCAAAATCTGTTTGCATGCTGTAGCATTAACATCACCCTTCACTGGAACTAATTATCCCTCCTCCACCAAACTTTACTGTTGGTACTATGCATTATGGTAGGTGGCATTCTCCTGGCATTTAGCCAAACCAGAGTCATCCATCAGACTGTCAGATATTGAAGCAAGATTTATCACTCCAGAGAACACGTTTCCACTGCTCCAGAGTCCAGCGGTGGCGTGCTTTTACACCCCTCCAGCTGACACTTGGCCTTGCGCATAGTGGTCTTAGGCTTGTGTGCAGCTGCTCAACCATGGAATCTCAACACACAGTTCTTGTTTATCTATATGTGTTTGTCTTGCATGTCTGTTTGATTTTATACAGCTGTTAGCAATGGGTGTGGCTGAAACACCTGAACTCAGTAAAAAGGAGGGGTGTCTGCATACTTTTGGCCACATAGTGTAAGTTAAATGCAGGATAAGCAACTATGAAGTAGTTAGAGTGGGCTGTCTGAATAAATTGTTTCAAATAAATGGTTTCTTTTTTACTCCTAAAATTTCCAGCTCCAAACTTTTATTATGTATGTCTATAACTTAAGAGTAACTCAGCATTCTAGTCAATGTAGTTACTAAATAATAAGCCTTTGGCTGTAATAAGTCTTGGATTTCAAGAGGTTAAAAAGACTGCTATAGTATCATGTACAATATTACAAATTTACTGACAGCAATTTCTTGTAAATACAAAATTAATTAAGAAATGTTGAGAAATAAAAAAAAAAAAATTTAATTCTGACTTTTAATTTATTCTTCTTATTAGGAAATCTATGAGTATTTTAGAATGTATGTCAGCTTCTTTACCACTATGGGTTTGAAAAGGCTACAAATTTGCTTTTACTGAGTATTTTAACCCTTTAACATTTAGGCTTATTACATACTAAGGCTTCCTATTCGTTAACTACAGGGACTTACAAACTAATGGAGCTTTTCTTAGGTTATAGAATTGTATAATAAAACTCGGCTTGGTAAGGGGTGTAAGGGGCACTCCAGCCTAAAACTAGAGATCATCCCTAAACATTTACCCAAACCAGTTGTAGTTTTTCAAAAAGTCCAAGATGCTTCATCAGAAAGGGTTTTTTACTAATGTTTAAGTGGGAAAATCTCGCTCTAGAGCAGTGGTCACCAACCCTGGCCCTGAAGATCCACCTTCCTGTCGGGTCTAGTTCCAACTGCAATCTGCTACACCTGCTTCAGCTAATTAACTTCTTCAGAAATTGCTGATGTGCTGGATCTGATGCATTAGTCTTGGGTAAGGAGGGAGGTCAACATATTAGATGCAGGTTGCAACAAACTCAGGTGGAGGTTTGGTGACCACAGCTCTAGACATTACTGTGGCACTGTAGGCATGTTTACAGAAGATGTATCGATGGTTACATTTTTCCGCTTTTGTTTTTGGCCCTTCAGGACGCCCCTGATTGTAGCCGGAACGATTGGTGGGCTGTTTGTGGTGGTCATCATAGTGTTGGGCTTTACCATTTTTGCCAGACGTAAAAGCATCAAGAAGAAAAGAGCTCTGCGCCGCTTCCTGGAGACAGAGGTGAGAGACCGTGTGTAGGAGTGAGAACAGAGTCGTTAGAGAGGTGTGATGTACTGAGTATCAGCAGAGTGAAGCCCTAACCAGTGCAAAGAACAGTCATGCACAATAGTGAAGCATTGTTCATCTTTAATTAACGGCTATTTTATGTAGATCAGATGGAGATCTGATGTACAAATGGTCGCTAACATAATGACATATCACTGCCTGTCAAATAACTTAAAATAATGCCCATCTCCTTTAGTAAACTTTGACTTAGTTCACTACAATCCTCCATAAACAATAGTGAGGCAACATTTCTGAGCCCTTGTTAATTTGCTGGATTTCTAAAATGAGAGCTAATAAAATGGGTGTAATAACTGTGTAGTTACACATTAATAATACATGCAACAACAATGTAACTACTAGTGATGTGTTAACTGTTAGAGACGGATTACAGTAGTAGAGCTTACGTAAATACACACTTCAATTTCTAGTCACATATTTACCCAAATGCATCTTGATAGTTATAACAGCATGTTTTCTCTTATGTAATTACACTTGTGTAACAGTGTGAGCTGCTGTTTTTTTTCCAATAAGACTTCAGATTGTAACAGGTGTGTAAGTACCTACATTATGAGAATGCTTACACTGCATCTGCACAGGAAACACTAGCTTTAAACACTAGGTTTAAATTATTCTGCAATGTGACTGTATTTAAACATTATGCCACATTATACTATAATGTATGTTATTTTGCATTATCTACATAATAACTACACAAGAACTATCTACTTATTTTAATGTGTAGCTTGTGCATAGTTTAAGTTGAACATATGTGTTGTAACAAAGGTAATCTAATCAAATCACATGGATCAACATGTAATTTTACAGAGCTTATGCAATAATCTTTTAAAGATAAATAGGCCGATTTCATTGTAACAGAAATACTGCCACATTATAGAATGGTTTGTGGTTGGGTTAGCAAGTTCCAATGCAATCATATTATTATACTTATGTACTATTATGAATGTCTTGGAAAAAATGTTCACTGTAATTGCACGGTAGTTACATGGTAATTATTCTGTAACACTGAACACCACCAATAGTTACATAGTTGTTGTATGTAATGTAAATGTAAATATAACTATGCAGTTATATAGAGACAATATAAAGCAATACGAAGTCCGTTGAGCAGTTTTTCAACAAAAAAATTAAAAATTATGTAGAGGGCTAAGACAACACCTTCATTAAAAGGTGTGGCTGTGACCACACATTTGGTTACTTGCTCTTCAGATGAAAATTCTGTCCAATATAGGTTGATGTACCTCAAGTGCAATATGAACAAATAAGAAGAAATCATGACACATCAGAAGAAATTTCACTCATAATAGTAGAATGTTCTATAAAGGATTTCTAAAAGATTTCCTCCATCATTCTATAGTCAGACAGTGTAAAAAAATTAAATAAAATAAATAGGGTCAAAATTCCAGCCTCAGGGTTACCAAACAAAATCCATTAAGTAATCTACAGTAAAAGTGTGTTTTCTCAATTACGGTACACAATCCGTAAAATTGCAGTCACTTAATTTCTAAGAAATATTGTTTTACTATAATTCAACAGTTTCAGTAGTTCAAATAGTTATTCTGACATACAGTACTTTACCAAAATAATAACACATGCATTTCACCTTTTTGTTTTTATTTTCAAAAAATGGGTATTGATCATTAAATGTTCTAGTTCTTTGACAGTATTTGTTTTTTTTTTTCAGTGTAGTCTTGGAAATGTCCTACAAAGATCAATACAAGTGCACTTTGAATAATTTGCTCATTGAATAATAATTAGTCTAAATATAATCTAAGAACTTGGGGGCATCTTTTGAATGTGATAACATTCAAAATGAACATGTGTTCAAGAATCAACCATACAGGAAGTTACCTAAACTACTTGCCAACTCAAAACAAAACACACAAACAATAAGAAAACAAACCAGCAAATGAAACAAAACCAAGTGGAAAAAAATGAAAACATTGCTGCATGCCTCCAGATAAAAACCACCTGGAGTTTGTACTGATGTTCTACAGCACTAGTAGAGGTACATTTAGTGAACAAAAGTTGAATGTAAACAAAGTCATTTTGGGTGAAACACTTCATCCCTCCTGTGAAATAGAAAATCCTTGCGAGACCAATTAATTCCAAGTTGTATCAGGAAATTCTACAGCATTATGCTGAGGTGAGAAAGAAGTGAGACAATGATCCAACGTGACAATGATCCCAAACACATGATTAAATCAACAACAGAATGCCTCAAACAGATGAAATTCCTTATGTTCGAATGACCAAATCAGAGTCCTGACCTCCCAATTGAAATGCAGAGGCATGATCTGAAGCAGACCATTCAAGCAAGACATTCCTGATGGACAGCTTGATACCCTCAAATATTGACATCCATTCAAACAAACCTACATCCTCTGGAGCTTGTATATGTGCCTGTAGTCATGTATTTGTGTTCATAAGAGTCAGAATAGTTTTGTGTTGAGGCCCTGATCTCTCTCAATTTAGTATTAAAGTGTTTCACTCTTTTTCCAGGGAAGTAAACTGGAGAAGGGAACTTGGCTGGAGGTTAGGGAACCAGCCTTGTGACCGGAAGGTCACCGATTCGATCACCTGAACTGACAGGACATGACTGAAATGCCTTTGAGCAAGGCACCTAACCCCCAACTCCCTGGGTGCTTTGGATAGGGCTCTGGGCAAATGTGTTCACTGCCCCCTAGTGTGTGTGCTTTCACTAGTGTGTATGCAGTGTTTCACTGCACAGATGGGGTAAATGCGGAGGTGAATTTCCCCATTGTGGGATTAATAAAGGGTAACTTAACTTAATGGAAGACTAACTCATTTTCAGCAAGTTTTCAGTTGAGTACCACAGTATCCTAGCCTTTCACTGTAATCATATTCACTATTCCCTATGTTTATTTATGTGTTTATTTGCTTGTTTCAAATACAGCCTGTCATTCTATTAAGCGCAACGTTGCAGAACTGCACTGGCAGTGAGATATTGAGTGAATTTTTTAAAACTAAAAGGAGTTTATGCTTCAGAACCACAGGCATGGGCAGCTCTCTTTAATGTTTAGTTTAAGGCCACTGAGGATTTCAGAACCACAAGAAAGGACAGCGCCTCTTAAAGTTTAGATTGAAGGCACTCAGCACTTCAGCATCAAAGGCAGGGACAGCTCCCCTTAATGTTTATTTTAAATGCAGTCAGTTCTGGACAGCTTCCCAAAGTCTGGGTGGAACAGGCTTGAGGTTTGAGGTCGAACAGGTTTGTCAGAAGCTAATTATACATGGTCATGTACCTTTACAGGATCTTTAACATACATATCACGTCACATCACTTATAAGTATAAAACTTCTGTCAACAGATACTGCATAACCGTGAGCTTCTGTGTAATTGTGAGGACAGATTCCTTGAATGAATCCTTAAAAAGGATATGATGTGCATGGCAAAGCCAACTTACTGTTCTTCACCTTATTATTCAAGGTTTTTATTTCCCTTTTAATAGGTTGCGGTTTTTGACCAAGAACTTAACTTTGCAGGAATGCAAAGCATAGATGGGAATAGAGCACTTGTGCATTGAAAGTACAGTTTTCATTCAAGCACCTTTTTTTCACATAGGAAACGAATGAGAGAATGTTGAGAGCAACCACCTGGAATTCCATAGCAACTGCTTAGCAACAGCAACAACTGTTTGATATTCTATAACAATGCTATAACTTTGCAACCCCCTGGGATAACAAAGCAATGGCTTAGCAACGTCTTAACAACTGCCTAGGATTCTATAGCAACATCCTAGCAACACTTTAATGACCACCTTGGGTACCATAGCAATGGCTTAGCAACATCTTAACAACTGCTTGGGATTGTATTGCAATGGCATAACAACACCTCAGCAACTGCCTGGGATAACATAGCAATGGCTTAGCAACATATTAACAACTGCTTGGGATTCTATTGCAATAGCATAGCAATATCTTAGCAACCACCTGGCATAACTGTGATAACATAGCACCGGCATAGCAACACTTTAGCAATTACCTGGAACAGCTTAGCAACACGTCAGCAACTGCCTGGGGTACCAAAGCAATGGTTTAGTAACATCTTAGCAACTGCTTGGGATTCTATTGGAATGGCATAGCAACACCTTAGCAACCACCTGGGGTACTAAAGCAATGGCTTAGCAACATCTTAACAACTGCTTGGGATTCTGTTGCAGTGTCATAGCAATATCTTAGCCACCAGTGAGATAACTGGAATAACATAGCAGTGGCATAGCAACACTTTAGCAACCACCTAGAACAGCTTAGCAACACATTAGCAACCACCTGGGATAGCATAGCACCACTTGGGCAACTACCTAACCACCTGGGGTACCAAAGCAATGGCTTAGCAACATCTTAACAACTGCCTAGGATTCTATAGCAACTGGGATAACATAGCAGTGACATAGCAACACCTTAGCAACCGCCTGGAACAGCTTGGCCACACCTTAGCAACCACCTGGGCTACCAAAGCAATGGCTTAGTAACATCTTAACAACTTCTTGGGATTCTATTGCAATGGCATATAACACCTTAGCAACCACCTGGGATAACTGGGATAGCGTGACAGTGGCATAGCAACACTTTAGCAACCACCTGGAACAGCTTAGAAACACATTCGTAACCACCTGGGATATCATAGCACCACTTGGGCAACTACCTAAGATTTCATAGCAACGGCTTTGTCAAGCCAACTTACAGTTTGTTTACGAACTCTCCTCTTCAAGTTTAATGTGTAAAGATCCATTCAATGTATTGATGTGTGTTTCATAGCTTTTATAATGGTATAAATTCATTTTTAAACATCATTAAATTTACTACTCAGTAAATCACAGGTGGCGTGTCGAGATATGAATAAAAAATATTTGTATTTTCTTTTACATTCATTCCTTGTCCACAGCTGAAAACCTATACAATTCCTTTTCTGAGACTTAGATATACTAAACAATAATGACTTTACAATCCCCTTATTGTCACTAAAGTAATTAAAAGAGAGTACATGTTAATCAAACTTGATAAGCTTGAATAAAAGCAACGCATCCAGACAAAGTGTTCCAGCCTGTGCACACAAACCCACGCACACAGTCCTCTTCTGGAGAGCAGTGAGGAGTGTTCCTCTGATTCACCCTGCTCTCGAACAAGCACTTAGAGCCTAATGAAACAACTGCACACACACATAAACAAACACGCTGAAGTTCACTCTCCACATTAGCCAGCATTTCACTCGTAATGAAACAAGTGCCACTTTATTACGGAGCAATTATTGCAGTAATTCTCTCTTTCTGTGACAATAGGGTGTAAACAGAGTCATATTAACCCCTAATAACCTGTAAACAGAGTCCATTTAACAGACCTGCTTGGTCTAATCTTACACAAAAACATGAAAACAGAAACTCAATAACCAGCCTACTACATCTGACCATAACACTCCATCTACTGTCTGATCGTAACACTACATAAGATGAGTTTATATACGCAATCTACAGTCTGATCATAACACTCCATAAACTGAGTTTATATACAGAATCTACTGTCTGATCATAACACTCCATAATGAACTGAGTTTATATACAGAATCTACTGTCTGATCATAACACTCCATAAACTGAGTTTATATACGGAATCTACTGTCTGATCGTAACACTCCATGAACTGAGTTTATATATAGAATCTACTGTCTGATCATAACACTCCATGAACTGAGTTTATATACACCATCTACTGTCTGATCATAACACTCCATGAACTGAGTTTATATACACAATCTACTGTCTGATCGTAACACTACATAAGCTGAGTTTATATACGCAATCTACAGTCTGATCATAACACTCCATAAACTGAGTTTATATATGCAATCTTCTGTCGGATCATAACACTGTGTAACCTGAATTTATATACACAATCTGCTGTGTCTGATTATAACACTCCATAAACTGAGTTTATATACTTAATCTACTGCATGTAACCATAACACTCTGTAAATTAAGTTTATATACACAGCCTCCTACACAACCAAGCTTATACTGCATCTGTTCATGACACTTTATAAACTGAGTTTTTCTGCATCTGATAATTCCCAAAACACCCAACCTACTGTTCCATAAATACCCAGCCTACTGCGTCTGATCATAACACTCTGTAAATGGAGTTTATATAAGCAGCCTTCTAGACTACTGAGGTTCTACTGCGTTTGTTCATAACTCTCCAGAAAGTTTACATATGCAATGTCTGATCAAAGTACTCCATAAACCGAGCCTGTATAAATAACTGCTGTGTCAGATCATAAACTTCATAAACTAAGTTTATAAATCCAACCTACTGTTTATATACCTGCTTATATTCCAAACCTACTGTGTCTGATCATAACGCTCCTTAAACTGAGTTCATAAATGCAATCTGTTGCATCTGATCATAACAGTCTATAAACTGAGTTTATATACATATCCTATTACATCTGACCATAACACTCCATAAGCTGAGTTTATATACCTAACATACATCCACCTGATCATAACACTCTATAAATGAAGTTCATATTCCCAACCTAGTACAGCTGATCGTAGCACTCTATAGATTTATTTGACCAATCTACTGACCATTCTACATTGAAGAATGGAAATTTTCTTGGTATTGTTTTGTTTTTTGGTCTGGGATCTGCAGTGTGTGTACATGTATGCAGTATGTGGTATTATTGTTATAATAACTGGTCTGGGATCTCCTGTTTTGGTCAGTTGGTGGAGCCACTAACACCCAGTGGAACAGCACCCAATCAGGCTCAGTTACGAATACTGAAGGAGACTGAGCTCAAGAGGGTGAAGATCCTGGGCACTGGAGCCTTTGGAACTGTCTACAAGGTAAAAACTGCCCAGAGTATGTGTTTGTATGCTAAATGTGTAACATTATTTTCACCAAAAAATTCTATTTAGTGAGAGTTGTCAGTCTGTATGTGGTACTTATCTTAATTCTATCTGTTTTCTGTCAGGGTGTCTGGGTTCCAGAGGGAGAGAGTGTCAAGATTCCTGTGGCCATAAAGATCCTCAGTGAAGCTACAGGACCAAAAGCCAATGTGGAGTTTATGGACGTGAGTTCCTTAATTCAGGCTCCATTCTAGAGATGCTGGTAACACTTACAGTCTTTTAGAGTTTATTGTATCATTAAACTATTGCTTGACAGAGATCAAGCTTCATGATACAATTTTGAAAACATCAGTTTTGTTCATTGTGAGACATGCTAGCAATATTTGGTTCAACTATACCTTTAATGACCAAAGAACAGATAAGAACAAAAAGGTTGTGAACCGGTTTTGACCCGGCTTCTTGACTGACAGCTGAAGAAGACTCGCTCTGCATTCTGATTTTGGTAAAGAAATGTGCTCCCGGACTTCCTCTCTGCACTTTGCGAAATCCCGGCTGCCATGCTGAAGGACAGTCCAAGTCTAATATAGGTCAAGTAAGTTTCTATCAGCAGCCCCCTAAACCCTTGGTTTGACTTAAGGAAGATTCTACAAAGCTACGGACTTCAGGCAGTGCCATATCCTGGGATGCATTTTCATTTTCTTCACAACCCCGTGGCTAACAGCTACCCCCAGCTCTAGCCCCCAGATCTAGCTGCAAAAGATATACATTTTCAGCTATTGTTAGATAGCCATGTGTTTTATTGTTTGTGTAAGACAACTGCAAATGAGCTCGGTAAACTCCAACTTCCTAAACTACTCCTAAAAGTGCCTAAAAAGGGTTTTTGAAGTGATGACACTTATGGTTCCCAAAAGAACCATTCAACTTGAAGGTTCTTTAGTAAACTCATGCTTTATGGTTTTTATGGAACCAAAAGTAGCTGTTCTATGCTGTTGTTCCAGTGCCCTTTTCAGAAGTGCAAAGTAAAAGCTAGCTATATTTAGGATTCAAACATATAGGTCTATCTATATTTCAACCCCACATTTCCTTCAGCAAGAAAACATATACACTATATAGACAAAAGTATTGGGACTCACCTCCCAATTATTGAGTTCAGGTGATTAGCCACACCCATTGCTAACAGGTGGATAAAACCGAGCATATAGCCTTGCAGTCTTGATGGACAAACAGCGGCAGTAGAATTGGTCATACTGATGAGCTCAGTGACTTTAAACATAGCACTGTCGCAGGATGCCACCTCTTTGGTTTGTAATATTTCTGTTCTGCTAGATCTGCTCCTGTCAACTGTAAGTGCTGTTATTGTGAAATTGAAGCATCTAGTAGCAACAACAGTTTCGACATGAAACGGTATACGACGCAAACTCACAGAGTGGGACCGCCGAGTGCTGAAGCGCACGGTGCCTGTCCTCTGTTGGATCACAAATGAGTTCCAAATTGCCTCTGGAAGAACCATCAGCAAAAGAACTGTGCATTAGGACCCTCACGAAATGGGTTTCTATGGCCAAGCATGCCACCACCGGAGCAGTGGAACTGTATTCTGTGGATTGATTAATCACGCTTTACTATCTGTCAGTCTGATGGACGAGTCTGGGTTTGGCGAATGCAAGGAGAACGTTACCTGCCTGACTGCACTGTGCCAACTGTGAAGTTTGGTGGAGGAGGGATAATACTATGAGGTTGTTTTTCAGGGGTTGGTCTAGAACCCTTAGTTCCAGTGAAGGGAAATCTTAATGCTTCGCAGACCAAGACATTTTGGACAATTCTATGCTTCCAACTTTGTGGGAACAGTTTGGGGAAGAACCTTTCCTGTTCCAGCATGACTGAGCCCCAGTGCACAAAGCAACGTCCATAAAGGCCTGGCTGGGTGAGTTTGGTGTGAAAGAACTTGAACTTGAACCTGATCTCAACCCCATCAAACACCTTTAGGATGAACTAGAAAGGAGATTGTGAGCCAGACCCTCTCGTCCAACATCAGTGTCTGACCTCACAAATGTTCTTCTGGATGAATGGACAAAACCTTGTAGAAAGCCTTTCCAGAAGAGTGGAAGCTGTTACAGCTGTAAAAGGGGACCAACTTAGTTTAGAATGGGATGTCATTAAAGCTTCTGTGTGTGTGTGTGTGTGTGTGTGTGTGTGTGTGTGTATACATGTCTATCAGATACCTGTTGACCTTTACCATTATTCACACACACTGGGGTTTGGATGAGAAGTATAAGGAGTAGATGTCAGGGTAAGTCTCACTAATGGGGGTCACCTCTGTTCTGGGCAGTGAGTGGACAGCAAACACACTCTCTCTCCCTCCTGGGCTTCATAATGTTGTGTCTGGCAGTTCTGTCTGCTGTTTACTGCTAACTGAGCTGGAGTCCATCGCCTAAGCCTCCCTCTGAGCAAAAGCTCATTCTATAGCCATAACAAGGGTACTTCATAAGATTTCAAACAGAGCCAACATACAGTAAGATCGGCAAAACACCATTTGTTCTGTGATGTCTCTCACCCTGAGTTGAAAAGATGATGTTTTAAAAGCTGTTCAGTTTGGAAAGATAGTGATCTAATCTGCCTCTTTTTCTGCGCCTACTCATCCTCATCATTCATGTTGTTGCACAATGCCTAACATTCTATCTTTTTATATAGGAATGCTTGGATTTGTCAAGTTCCATCACTCTTGGGCACCCCTCTCAGGTGCAGTGCATGCTGCCTTTGGAGATTTTTCCTCGGTCAACTCCAGCCTGTCAGAAATGCAATCGTCACCGCAACAAAATCCTACCGATTAAGCACAGATAATGTTTCTTGTGCAGGACTCCTTGGGCAAGACTCCTAATGCTTCATTTGATTTTCTATACATAATTAAGTGCATACTGTGTACATCGCACTATTCAGAAGTTATATCTCCATAGGGTTTGTCCAACTCTCTGAATACCTCTGGAGAACAGCCTGTGTGCTATGTTGAAACCCTGACTGGCATTTCTCTTGCTGTCCACTAGGAAGCTCTGATCATGGCTAGCATTGAACACCCCCACCTGGTGCGTCTGCTGGGAGTGTGCCTGAGCCCTACTATCCAGCTGGTGACCCAGCTCATGCCCCATGGCTGCCTGCTAGACTACGTTCACGAACACAAGGACAACATCGGCTCCCAGCTGCTCCTCAATTGGTGTGTGCAGATTGCAAAGGTAAGAGCGCTAGTTGCTTGTTAAAGGTCTTCGTAAACACTGGCCACTTAATTAGAGACCCCTACCTTCTAGTCCTGGGTGGTTGGTGTACAGTTAGAAGCTCTAGCTCATCTGTTGATTCACAATTTCTGTTAGTCCTTCATCGGTGGTCAGTTTCTGACCACAGATTCACTCTTGGCTGGGCATTTTTTGGGTGTATACTCTCAACCTGCAAAGAATAGTTCATAATTTGTCAGTATAGTTCACCAAAGTGGTAGGTATTTTTGATAAAATGGCCAGTGGTTGTAGGCATAAGGTGTACCCAATAAACTAGCAACCCTGTGTACATAGTCAGAGACATGAATTCTCAGCGCTCACCTTTATGAGTCACTCTTCCCAGCTCCGTGGTTTGTTTTTCAACATCTTCTCTGATCAATAGACCCTCCTCAAGTCCTGCTCGCCACTGCTGTGCTGCAGATATTCTTTACCAGCTTGCGCTCTCACTCGCAACGCAGCTTCACTGGTCAAGCACAATTTTTTTTTCTTGGCCGGGCCCAGTCCCCAGGACATCAGGCCCTCAAATCGTCCGTGAGACGGCCCTACTGTGTTCTCACAGTGTGCTCCACCATTCGCTTCGAGTGTCCTGCTGCTAGATTGGCCTCCTGTAGAGCAAAGCCATGCTCTCCCTGCCTTCTGGCACGTTCTGAAAGGCCGGAGCCGCAGGGAGCGAAATTTGATTCGGCATGGGGGATGGATTTCCAAAGCCGGTGCTGTGTCACGGCCCATGGCGCAGGACATGCCTGTGAATTAGATACATGAATTGAGTGCTGTTATATAGAAAGAAACAAGGTACGCTACTGTTCAAAACTTTGGGATCAGTTGCTGCAAGCCTAAATGATCGATTAATACTTTATTGTACACACACTGGTCCAGCTGCAGTTCCGTAAAGCTGATTTTCTTTATTTTATTTCATAAAACTGATTTTCTTATTCAAAGGTATAACCATGGAAATTATGAACAAGGATTTAAAAGGAAAAAGAAAAAGTTTTCAGACCCCACAAAAAAATAGTAATAATAACATTGGTATTAACTTTGTAAAAGCCATTGTTGGCACTTACAGCTTCAAGGTATCTACAGGAAAAAATAAGTAGCCTTTTAAAGCATTATGGTTAGATTTTGTCCCGATCCTCTTAACAAACTATCTTCAGTTTCCCAAGTTACGAGGGTCCCTTTGATGCTCTTTCCATACATTTTCAATGTGATTCAAGTCAGTAGACTGTCTAGACCACAGGTGTCAAACTCAACGAGTAAAAGCGCCATATTAGAAAATCTCAACAAACCTGTGGGCCACATAAAAAAAAAGTTTTTATTTCATTTTTAGTTAATGTTGTGCTGTAACCCAAACTGGCTATTGTTTATTCAAAATCTGCAAAAACTTCAGCAGTGAAATATAGGCACTTGTTGTAGACCTTGAAATATTAAATGAATATTCAAATATTGAAATATTGAATATTGAATATTGAAATATTCAAAATGTAAATGTCCCCAGGAGCTCAATATTTTAAACCTACCTATCTCCTTGAACAAGACACCTGGCATCCTTTCTTTACTGCAAGTTCATTAAAACTTGGGCTCAGTTTCTGAGCTGCTGAACTGACATTGTTTATGCTGGTTGAACTGCAGCTGAAATTTTGTTGTTGGGGTAGAAGAATCAGAGCACACATTACTTTGCAGTGCATGCTGGGGACTGTAGTGCAGCGCATTGTGAAACGGGCTAATATTAATAGATGGTCATTTTAATAGATGATAAAAATAGTCCACAGTAGGATGTCTGTTTTGATATGTTTTCACGGCAATAAACAAACATCACATTTACTAAAACATACAGTTATAAAATCATGAACTGTCAGTTCATGCCAACCATAAATATGTTCATTGCAGAAACTAGGTTTCTTTTGCTTTTTTTAAGGGTCTTTTGTTCACCCAATTACCAATACCACTATGTTAGTGCCAAGCTAGTGATGGTGTATATTCACGTTTTTTAGAATGTTCTAGCTTAAACATCTTCAGTTTGAAGCTTGTAACAGATAATCAAGTACCATAATTTGTACTCAAAGACTATAATATTGTAGCATTCACCACTTTTACAAGAGACACAGCTTTCACACCAGTCACGATGCTTTATTTTCCAGGTGTTGTAGATGTTCCAGCAGAGTTAAGCAGAGTTTTGTCTTTACTAACGGTCTATTCGCTACCCAGCTCACGCCTCTTGTCTCTCTCTCTCTCTCTCTCTCTCTCTATCTCTCTCTTTCTCCCCTCATGCACACTCACACACAGCCCCCGGGCAGTACTTATCCCCACCCTCTACAATAAGAGTCCTTAGCACAAGAAAGGCTAGAGAATGCATAACCTAAAGCTAACATGCAAAAGCATTTATTGAACGCACTACAATATTATTCACAGCCTATAACAGTTGAGTGCCTGGTCAATAGTTCAAAATTCAAGACTGTGGCTCGAAGTCTTGGAACTTACTTGAGACTTGGGATGTAATACTTGAGACTTACTTGATACTGGCAACTAAAAGACACCTCTGCTCTCTATTATTGCACTTGTGAATTTCACTGCATAAAAAAAACAGCCCTTCAACCTTACATAATGCCTTCAAAGCATCTTAAAGATGGTCATAAAATTCCACTCCCTCCTAAAAAGCCTATAAAAACATTGAAAAGCTCAATCTTAGCTTGAAAATCTCATACGAACTCACTCTTTACCAGTGGTGCCAATAATCCCAAAAGGTACGGCATGAAGACTCCCATGAAAAATTAATTTCAGTTGAACTTGTAGCATTGAAATTCAACTAGTTTCTGCAATTTTTTTCATGCAGGGTAACTTTGATGGTGGAAAATCTGCTTGTGAAAGTTTCATGAACATCAGTCAAGCTACTATGAACGGTGTGTGGGGCTGTGCGAGTGCTCTATATATGCGAGCCAGGTGCTTGTGAAAGTAGAGATCTTAAGCTGCTGCATGACTGAAATCTAGAATGTCCTCCTCCCCTGAGGGTGCATGTTCTTGTGGGTGGATATTACTGTGGATGCCATTCTGAATACTGAAGATATAGGAAGCCCTTACGGATGTAGGATGTGCAGATTTGCTCTTTCGATGCTAGCCAAGTTTAGAAAGTTGTCATATTATAGTTATAGTGACCAAATTGTAATATTTTGAACAGACCTAATTAATAACACCTTGTATCTCCAGTTTTTGGCATTTTTTTTTGACCCTTACATTGTGTTACAATTTTAATGATGAATTGACCAATAGAATTGGTTCAAACCTGCTTAGAATTAAATATCTTTACATTAAATTGCATTGAAAGTCATATATATTTTTTCTTTCTCCTGATATGGGACCATTTTGGAGGTACAACAGCAATGATATGCATATCATTTTTAACAAAATCTCCAAAACTTCATGGGAAAATCATTCTAAAACCTTTTAAGAGATTTTAAGTCATTTTTGACAATTTCTGGCCACCATGAGCCTCTTATTACTCACTTTTACTGTAAGAGATACTAATTAATTTAATTTGCATTACCTCAAAAAATACTAAATTAGCAAGTACTCTTGAGATGGGTACAACATCAGCATAATATTATCACATTTGAACCAATTTATCACCAATCTGTAAACTGCTACCAGAATTTCTTTTTCAATTTCAGTAAAACTATTAATATGTTTTAGAATAAAAAAAAAAACTCTGACATATCATTTTTTCAGATGCCTAAATGCTTAATGCATTGGGCTGCCCAATCCTGGCCCTGGAGATCCACCACCCTGGAAAGTTTAGATCCAAAACACCTGGCTCTAATGTTCAGATGCCCCTGAAGGCCTTCATTACCTGGATCAGATATGTTAGATTAGGACTGGAGCTAAACTCTGCAGGTTGGTAAATCTCCGGGACCAGGACTGGGAATCCCTGGGTTAATGGTTCTCCATGACTAAGAGGTTTGAGCATTGCATTATGACTCACTCCAGTCTTCGCCAGAGTAAATGTGTGTCTCAATGCCAAAGCCTTTTTTTCCTACCACAAAAACCATCACCTTCGGCGTCTCACATTTACTACTTGATTCTGTTCCAGTCACGCTGATCGTTGTGCGAGGCAAATCCTCGTTTAGCTCCTTTTTGCTACCTTCACACGCAGTGAGGTAATAACCTAAGCATGGGAATGAGATTAGCGTAATAGGGGATGATATATTCAAAGCAGATTAACTGCAGGGGTTTGACAGTGTTGAAATACAGACTCTACTTTGCTTAAGTGGGGAATAAAATTGGGAAATGGCATTTCCTCCCGTTCCTAATTTGCTCTCATAAGAGAATGCAAAGTAGAGTCTGGCACAATCCTCCCACCTCTCTCTAACTGAAGTGAATCAGAGATAACTGTACTCAGGTCCCAGAGCGCTAGCGTTAGCATAACACTGCGTTCTGTAACAAGGCACCCCGTTGGTAGGAGGTCCCGTGTCAGGTTTGATTTCCTTTCCTTTTTTCTCCTTTCTGTATTTCTGTAAGGAGGTTCGGAAAAAACAATGGAGCAAGTTGAGCACCTGCATCCACAGGCTTAATAAGAGGGTGGCAGGGTGGGGTGGGGAACAAACACACACTTTTGCTCCCCCACTTTTTATTCCAGCACAAAAGTGACTTTCAGTATGAAGAACTGCACAAGTATTTTTTTTTATATATATATATTTTACATTATAACTTTATCAATCTCCCTCAAAACAAGGCTGTCCCTTAAGAACAAGGTGCCTCTTTTCTGTGAGATTTGATTCTTTACAAGCAAGGCACTGAATGTCTCTTACAGCAATAAACAGGGCTTTATAGCTTTGGGTGGCTTCTGATTTTATTAAAGGCAACATGATGAAAATACCATCTTATGCTGCTCCTTTTTTCCTCCAAATATACATTTGGTGATTGGGGCCAAAGGGTCACACAGCACTTATCCACAGCCCTTATCTAGATGTTTTGCA